ATATGGGGTATAGGTGTCTAGTGTATTGGCTGTAACCCTGCTTCATGCCATGACAGTATGAGGTACATCATGTTTTTCCCAGTCTGCTAGATGGGGTGCAGCTCAGCTTCTATCAGGAATTCGTCATTTCCTGTAAATGAAGTCACTGACTCTTTGCTAACAAGATTCTAATTTGCTTTTTTTTACAGTCAAAAAAATAATCATCATACCCTGGACAAATGTCTCCTTCAGTCCTTGTGCAATATTCAAGATTGTAAAAAGTGTATTATGTCAGGGTTTTCACCTTTTAGCAGGTCATATATGATAGCCAGAGGAATCTGCTTACCACGGAGAGTATGCAAAATAGGACAAGTGACATTATTCAGATATAAAAGACATGACATCAAGCCCTGATCATATATAGTATTTTTCCGTAGCAAGATCTTTTGCCGTTTTCATCTATTTTACCGAAATGCTTCTAATTTGTTTTTTAGGGTTTTTTATTAGCAGTAAGAGAGACTGTAAAGTATGCTGAGAAATGGGAGTTTCTAAGAACTAACCAGTGCAGAGGTTTAACAATGTATAATTACATGAGTGCTACATATTTTAGTAACATCTTCTATAAGTAAAATCTTATATCCATATATTTCCTTATATATATACTAATAGTTCTGTACCAATTAGAAACTATTTGTAGTATGTGGCTTTTTGCACAAAGAGGCAATCACATTTGATAGCTTAAGCTTGGGGAATGATGCTTCTGAGATTTTAGCAGAAGCCAGGTGATACTGGAACTTTAAACTCAGGAATCAGCTGTTTGAATGTGCTTCATTAACTTTAACCTGCCTAAAACTGGGACTTATTGGATGTCACCGATAAATGGGAAAAATTAAATCCCAGGGAAAAGAAAATCAGAAAGAAAAAAAATTTCCAGAGAAAATTGAATCTGAAACCTGCATTTGTCTATGCCTTGCTGTTGACTTAAATTTTGGATAGTTTTACTAATTTATTTTGCTTAACTGAAAAGAGAAATAGTAACATGAACTAAGTAGAAGTTACATGAACTATTTTCTGATGAAAAGATATTAACATCTTTTGGAAATACCATATTCAGCTTGGTAATATAAATATTCAATTTTAATAGATTGCCTTCTCACCAGTCCTTACTCTCTTACAGAGAGAATTTACCTATTTATTTTTGAAACAGAGTCTTGCTCTGTCACCCACGCTAGAGTGTAGCAGTGTGATCTTGGCTCGCTGCAACCTCCACCTCCTGGGTTCAAGCAATTCTCATTCCTTAGCCTCCCAAGTAGCTGGGACTACTGGCATATGCTACCAGGTCTGCTAATTTTTGTATTTTTTTAATTGCATTTTAGGTTTCGGGGTACATGTGAAGAACATGCAAGATAGTTGCATAGGTACACACGTGGCAGTGTGATTTGCTGCCTTCCTCCCCTTCACCTATATCTGGCATTTCTCCTCATGCTATCTCTCCCCAACTCCCCAGCCGCCGCTGTCCCTCCCCTATTCCCCCCAATAGACCCCATTGTGTAGTGCTCCCCTCCCTGTGTCCATGTGTCTCATTGTTCAACACCCGCCTATGAGTGAGAACATGCAGAATTTCATTTTCTGTTCTTGTGTCACTTTGCTGAGAATGTTGGTCTCCAGGTTCATTCATGTCCCTAGAGATGGGATTTTGCCGTGTCAGCCAGGCCGGGCTTGAACTCCTGGCCTCAAGTGATCCACCTACCTTGGCTGGGATTATAGGTGTGAGCCCCCATGCCCAGCCCTTACAGTGAGACTATTTAAAGACAAATAGAAGAAGTTGAAGTACATATCTTTTACATATCTTATCAGTAGAATTAAAAACAACATTCATATACTCACCAAGTTCTTGGTAAGACTTTAAAATCACTTAAAAAATTAAACATAAATTTGGAAAATAGAGTTGAATTTATAGCTATTTCACAGAAACAGACATTATATTAAATAATTCCTAAGGTTTGATTTTTATATATGCCAAAGCAAGACTAGGAAATAACTGAAACTCCTGCTTTTTTTTTTTTTTTTTTGGCCACCGCTGACATTTTCAGAAACCAGAGTCAGAGCTCTCTTCCCTAGATGCAGCACATTTAAAGTTATGTTCATTTAATAAAAGCACAGCAGTGGGACTACTTTTTCTTCCAAGAGTGATTTAAATAAGAATTAGGCAATGTCAAGGATTAAGGATAATAGGCTTTTAAAAAAATTGTGTTGTTTTTCCCTTTAATGAAAAACACATCTGAGTAAAGAAAAATTGCAATGAACTAATTCAGTTATTAGTGAAGTAGTAATTTGGTACATATTACTTTTAATAATTTATATTTACTGCAAAGTTTATATTCAGGTTTAATTGCTTGCTAAGACAAAATCAACAAGACGATTTCCTTATGCCTTGTTTTATGTAAGTTAGTTTCTCTTAGGGAAATATTATAACAGTAAAAACCATTAGTGCACCTCCATGTGCCTTTCAAGAATATATATTCTCTGCATAAGAGGAGAATAACTTAGGGGTCATGTCCAGCCAGGTGACTTATTAGATTATGTTTATTGATGTAGTAATATTATATATGTATATATTGCACACATACATATATAAGTATAACATAATTATCAAGTACATTGTAATATTATACTTATTGTACTTAAATGTATATGCCATTTCAAATTAGTCTAAACCATTTGTATATGCCATTTCAAATGAGTCTAAATCTTGTTTCACTAGAAGCCCAATATTTAGACATGATCTCACACCCTGTGACATTAAAGAAGACAGGCTTGACTATTTCCCCTGCTTAGTTTTGGTTTGACATACGTGCTGTGGCAATGGCAAAAGTTATTTTCTTAATGATAGGCAGATCCGCCATGATCGTGTAGGAATTTGGTGGAAAAGTAACGGGTGGTAGTTTTCTCGTTGTTGGTTTTGGTTTGGGGATGTGCATGTAGGTACGTTTGGAGGAGTGCAATTCTAACTTTTAAAAATCAGAAAATCCAGTGGGAACAGTTGATCCTACTTTCCAGTTCAGTTTCTTCATCCATCTTGCTGTGGTCTTGGCCGCCTTCAGATTGTGCTGTGGTCACACTGACCTGTGACAACCGAACATGCAAACCCAGTGTCCGATGGACCCGATTTTGTTTCATCCAAGCAGAGGGGGTGCCCGTTCTGTGAATTCTGTCCCCAAGGATTTGAATATTCAGTGTCACAGCCAGTGTCATTTTCCGTCAAGGTAGCTATACTCTCTTTATATAACCGTTTTGTTGGTGTGCTCTTGTTATACCCCTGCAGACACCCGTGCTGTTTCACAAGTTCTTCAAAACTATTTCTTTCTTATCATTAAAAACAAAAGAATTTAAAATAAGACTTAAAAATATGAGACCTACTACAGACCCATATTGTCAGACTCTTCCACTCTAATATAACCCCTGGAAGTAATTTCTGGAAGCATGAAATTTAGGCCAAGCAGAAGCTCAAGCTGCATCATGAAGGCTCTAGTTAATCCCCTTAGGAGGTGTACCTTAGCCCAGTGTTTATAGAGCTAGGATGTTGGGCTGCTGTTTCTTTTTCTTTGGAGATATTAGTAAATGCAGGAAAATCTGTTATATTCAAGCAGTTCCTTCCTTCCTTCCTTCCTTCCTTCCTTCCTTCCTTCCTTCCTTCCTTCCTTCCTTCCTTCCTCTTCTTTTCCTTCTTCCTTCTTCCTCCTTCTTTCTTATTCTTTTTTTTTCTTTTTTTTTTGGTAGTAGCCCAGGGATGCCACTAATGGTGGCCACAATGACTAAATATTCTTAATTTTTCTAGATCTAAACATGAGGCTGACTGGGTTCCTTATAGAGCCTGTGTCTTGAAAAGCATTGTCCAATGGAACTTTGCACAATGGAATTTTCTTCATTTTCTGCATTTTCTTCTATGTCTGCGCTCTCCAGTGAGTGCCATTAGTCACTTGTAGCTGCTGAGCACTTGAAATGTGGCCAGTGTGACTGAGAAACTGGAATTTCTTTATCTTATTTAATTTTAATTAAAATTTAAACTTAAAAAGTCACACATATCTAGTGGCTGTACTGTGTTGGACAGGGTGGCCTTAGAGAATCAGGGAAGTAGATCAGCTTTGCTGTGAAGTCCTCTTGATGGACTCAGTAAACCATGACAACACATACTCTAGAAATTGGAGACTGGTCAGTGCTGACCATGGTGTGCCCTCAACCTGGTGGGTACTGCACAGCTGCCTTGCAAATCATGGTGGTTCCTGTTGGATTTTTGCATTTACATTTTTAAATAGAACTGAATCCTGCTAGTCTGGATACAATGCAATTGTGCAAGCACAATTATTGCTATGCTCCGACTCAGTCCACAGTTGTCTCAGTTGTCCCAGCACCTCTGGGTCTTGACTAGTTTGTCTGCCTTGGAGTGCGCATCCAAAGTGTTTGTAGAGTTCTGGCTTTGGGAGAAGGGGTTTAGGGACAAAAGCCTGGATTTGCCCTTCCAAAGAACTGTCCACCACTGTTTCATCTTCTCTGTCACCACATACCTTGGTGTTGCATGTAGTGAAACTTTGCCATCTGACTTGCATTTTAAAAAGCAAGTACCGCTAACCTCAGTCGAGCAAGACCAGTTAGGAAGTTGTGACAGTTCATTCACTCACAGACACAGATCTCTCACTAAAACTAGGTAAATCTTTCCTCATCAATTATAGTGAGTCTTCCAACTTCAAATTAACCAGGAAGCTTTCAGAGCCTGTTGAGGAACACAAGAGTCACCAGGTGAGTGGACTTACTCATGGGGGGAGCTTGGTTTCTTCTGCTCAAACCATTGTAGGACCTTAAAAATGGGCATGTGGGGAGGAGAACAGGGTGAAGGATGCCTTGTGGTTGACAATTCCCTTTGTCCTGCCCAGGGTGACGCCATGCTGCTTGACACAGACAGGAGCCTGAGACCTGTGTGGGGAGAGACAGACACTGAACTGGGGGACTGGGGTGGGGGGGGTAAGGCAGGTCACTGTCCTCCAGAGGCCCACAGCCTACACCCCACCATTTCCCCACTAGTTTGGGATCCTCCAAACTAGTCATGCCTCAGAATCACCCAGGAGATACTTTAGATTAAAAGTACTATTAAACAAATTCCTGGCCTTACCTCCATTTGTAGAATTAAAACACTAACATTTCTCTCAGTCCTCTCAACCCTATCTTCATGGTTATGATGATCTTTGGGCTTTTCAAACATGTTGATGCCAGGGTACTACCCCAGGCAGACTTAGTCTCAGGGAAGGACCTAGACACTGATAGATGTTGAAGTCCCCTAGGTGGTTTTTGTTTTTGTTTTTCTTTTTTTTTGAGACAGGCCTCGCTTTGTCACCCAGGCTGGAATATAGTTGCATGATCACAGCCCACTGCAGCCTTGACCCCCAGGCTCAGACTATCCTCCCTCACCCTCCCAAGTAGCTGGGACTATAGGCATGTGTCAACATGCCTGGCTTATTTTTTAATCTTTTGTAGAAACGGGGACCCACTATGTTGCCCAGGCTGGTCTTGAACTCCTGGGCTCAAGTGATCCTCCCGCCTCAGCCTCCCAAAGTGTTGGGATTACAGGTATGAGCTACCACGCTCAGCCCCCCAGGTCCTTCTGATGCAGGTTGCATCTGGCTGTATCAACAGAGGGGTTTTAGGTATGCAGTAAGCATTAGGCTGGGATGTTCACTGCCCCACACTCCTCACCTGTATGCATTTGCTGTAGAACCACCATGCATCAGGCCCTCCTGGGCATGGTGCTGTGTTTCAGTCTCTAGCTGATCCCATCCTTCTTCCTTGCCTCCTTTGTAGTCTCATCACTTCTGCTCTGCCCCCTGGGCAAATGACCCTGAGAACTGTCTCCAGCAGTGACCTGTCCAGACCCAGCTCTGAAGTTCCCACTGGGCATTTCTGTTGGCATGGTGAACCCGAGTCAGTCCCGGGCCATGCTTCTCCCTGCAGGTTGGGTTACAGATTCCAGTGTTCCTCTGCTGTTCTTCCTCCCACAGTCCTTTTGGTCCTGAGTCCTGCCACCTTCACCCTTGTGGTCCCCTGCAGTGCCCGGCTTCTCTGGTCACGCTGATGCTAGCCTCATTCAGCCTGCACCGTCTTGTCCACGGGCTGTCTCACAATGCTCTCAGTTGGTTTCTGCCTCCTCAGATTGTCTTTGTCTAGTCATCCTTCCCCAGCTGCTGAAGCATAGGTTGGCTCACAGAACGTGTGCCACTAAAAACGTGAGAGGGCTTCTTGGCAAAGACAGGGCAGTGCACATCTCCCCATCTGCCCACACCTGCCTTCCCAGCTGCCACGTCCTCCTGCCATACTGAGCCTGCTCACTGGGCCCTCTGCGCTCTGTATCCTGGGCCTCACCATGTGGTCCAGCTGTCCATCTGCCTTCTCCTCTGGTTTGCTGATCTGTCCCTTCAGTTCTGGTTTATAGGTCACCCTACAAGCTTCCTCTAATGGCTTTGGCCAAATCTCCCATTCCCCAGGTGCCCCCACCTTATGCACCTGTAGTCTTTGGCCCTCTTTTCTCATCCTTCCTGGCTCATGTGCAGGTGCTCACAGGGATGGCTCCCACTCCAATTGCCCTGTAGGCTGGAATCACAGTTAGCCCCTCCCCTGTGCAGGGCCTTTGCACAGACTCTTTGGGCACCACGTGCTCTCACAGAGGCTGCCAATGGCATGTTTTTTGGGTGTTCCTGACCAGATGCTGTGGACAGTAACAGAGGCCTTTCGATTTTCCGAGTGTACGTCAGTGGAGCCTTCCTCTCAGGCCCCCAGCCTACTGCTGCTGCTTCTCTCACTGCCCCTGCCCAACATGCACACACATACACACGCACACAAACATGCATGCACACACGCACACACACATATGCACACACGCACATACATGTACATGCACAAACATGCACATGCACACATGCATCGTCCTCCCTAGTGAGCTCTGTCCTTCCTGCTGCCGCCTCCTCCCTCACTCACCACACCTACATTCTCAGAGCAGCCTCCCAGGGATTTGGTGGTACTTTTGGGAAACAATTTCCTCCTCGACCTCCCTCTTCGATGAGGGAATGATAACTGAGACACAGCTGGTAAGTAGCAGTACTGGAGAGGGAAAGGATGCCAGTAACTACCCCCACATCCTCTCCCCATCTCCACCATCTCCAATGCAGCCAACCTGCCTGAATGCCTCATGAAGCGCAGTCCAGCTAGTCTAGCGTCTCCAGTTTCAGCCATCCTGGCTATACCCCGTGAGGCCCTTTCTTGGGCTGCTGCTTTGAGGGTGGCCTCCAACAGCTGAACCACACCCTCACAGCCTTCCCAGGAGATCCCTCAGGGAGTATGGGAGGACCAGGCCCCTGCTCTGGACAAGTACAAGTACGTGGAGAGGGACACCATGGCCTCTGATCCCCATTCCCTTGGGGAGAAAGGGTGGTGCCAGTTGGCAGAGCGGCCTTTGGGGAAGTTGACCCAGAGTGTGAGGGTCAGGATGGAGCAGCTTCCAGAGCTCAATCTTGGTGAGGGAGAAGGAGGAAGGTATTAGAGGCTGAGAGACTCCTCTGTGGATGTGTGCAGAGGCCTGAGGGAGGGTGCGAGGGCAGGGTTTATTCGAGGAACTGCGAGAATGTCAAGCATTTTAGTGTGGGGTAGAAACGGAGAGGGGGCAGGCAGAGACCAGAGTGCTAGTCCTTGGGCCTGCCTTGCCCTGCACAGACTCTTCAACTCTATCCTCAGCACTGCAGTCCCCAGCTGGGCTACCTTCAGCTGCCGTCCTCATTCTGCCTCTGTCTGGGAACTTTCTCTGCTCGTTGTCCCTATGTGCAGGCTCCGGGTTGGCTGGGCGGGGACATGGCTCCTCCATGGCTTTCACTGGCAGCCTGTGCTGCAGGTCCTGAAGTCAGGTGTGGGGACTGCTGAGGCTCACCCCCATGGGGCTGGCATACTGACAGGCTTTCCCATCATCCCTCAGCCTCAAGGGAGAAGGGAGAACTAATCCCATAGGGAAACAACAGCAAAGCCCCAGTGGACTGTGACCATGAGGATGAGCAGTAGCTTGTACAAACTTGTCCTTCGGCCAAGAGGCCCTTTGGCGGCTTTGGGAGGAAGAACATGGCGGGTCTCCCTCCCCCAGCAGGCCTCCTCCCTGCCATAGCCCCTCACAGTGCCAGGAGCACACCAGGCCATGGACTGAACAAACCACCTTCCCAGGCCCTGTTTCCTGGCAGCCCTGTGGGCGCCAAAGCCTGACAGGAGGTGGCTGACTCCGGGTGGCCCCCCTGTGAGCACCTCCTCACAAACATGGCCGGCACCTCCCGGAAGAACGGCTCTTCTCTGCTTTGCTCTCAGTTTCTGGGCTGACAATTAGGCTACTGAAAAAGGACAATTCACAACAGGCCCACACAGAGAAGGCCTTTCATGTGCAAGAATGGCCCCGTCGTCCACATTAGCACCATTATGTCTTTATTTATAGGAGGTACTGTACTTGAGAATGGTCAGGCAGCATTGCTTTAAGAAGGGTGTTTGGTCACTGGATTTGAAGCACACTGAGAGGATTCATTGTCCCCAGGCCACACGGGGCCCGGCCTAGCAGCCTGGGGTTCGGTCCAAGCGTGCTGAGTGGGTGGTAGAGCGCACGCTGACAGGGGCTGCAGGGTCGCCCTGGCTGGCAGAGCCTTTGTGGTTGAGTCGGTGGGTGGTGGGGGGAAGATGAGGAAGCTGTCTCATGGTGGCAGGTCTGTGACAGGCCCAGCCCAGTCTGAGATCCATTTATAGAGTGACACAGCAGCCTGTGCGGGCAGCAGGGAGCCATTCTCACCGACTCACGCAAATCCAAGAGAAGCCTGGGTTCATTCATGATTTAAGGTTTTACGGTATTGGAAATGACAGCCCCACATGGGAAGGACCCTGGGTTTTTGTAACCCTGGCTGTTGGCATGAATGCTCCATCAACCCAGGAGGATGCCCACAAACACCCTCTGAACTTCTCACACAGACACCTCAACCTGAAGGAACTGTCTTCAGACAGCCTGGTGCGGTTTTAGAGAGCGTGCAGCCTGCAGCAGGAGCCTTCGTTCAGGTGGTCCCATCTACTCCTCAACCCTGCCCCGCTCCACCACCTCAGCTCACTTCTTCCCGGCCTCCTGGGTCTGCAGTCCTTGCTGTTTTCCAGGGCAGCAGAAGGCATGCAGAGGGTGGGCAGAGTTTGCGGTCCCCCTCAGCGGAGGATCACACCCTACAGCTGGCTCAGGCTCTGGGGTTAGCATTTGAATTGGGAGTACCCGGCTGAGGGCTCTTCATTCCTCGCACTGGCTGATGGAGCAGTCGTGCCCTCAATCAGAGCTGCAGAAAGCCATCATCCTCCCCAAGTGGGGCTCTTGTTCCTAATACTGTAACCTTAAATCATGAATGCATCCAAGCTTTTCTTGGATTTGTGTGAGTCGGTGAGAACAGCTCCCCACTGCCCAGATGGGCTGCTTTGTCATTCTGCAAAGGCTTCTCGGCCTAGACTGGGCTTGTCCCAGGCCTGGTTTCTAAGCATCATCATCTATCCAGGACATAAAGAGGATTGTTGGCCCCTGCACCCCTACTATTTATTATTACTGCTGCTGTTAACTATCACTTCGTTGCATTTCCCGAGCTCAGCACTTGACTTGGATGTTTTCATTTTATCTTCATAACCACTTAGGCAGTAGGTTCTTTTATCACCATTTTGCAGATGAAGAAACTGGCTCAGAGAGGGCAAGCAAACGGTTCAAGATTACACAGCTAGAAAGAGGTAGAGCCACATCATGTTGCCTCAGAGGCCCTGATTCCAAGCTGCCTCGGCCCAGGCTTCTGGGTCCTTCCCACTGCCTCTTCCAGGTGTTTCTGAGTCATGAGCCATGGAAGAAGAAGAAGAAAAGAACAAATCACAGGCTCAGGTATGCTCCAGGGGCCTCATCTTCTAGCTGCCTCCTCCCAGCTGGGCCTCCAGGCTTCTGTAATTCCGTAATATGGTTCCCTAGGGACCACTTTCCTTTGCCTCCCTACATATCAGTAAGTCATTTGCCTCCCTACATATCAGTAAGTCATTTCCTCAACTTTTTTTCCTTAGGGCTTTTATCCCTATTACGAGAAAAAGTTTCCTTCACAGTGATTTATGTCTGCCTCTGCAGATCATGTTTAAAAGTGTTCCAGAGACTTTCAGAATTATTTTTGTTTAAATATTAGACTTCTGTCCCTGCAAAATGTATGACCCTATGCTGTCAATCCTGGATATTGGCTTTGGTAGAGTAGCCATCCTGGATTTTTTAACCTAGATATTAATCGAGCATTCTGTCTTGTGACAATGCAAACCTTCACTGGAGAAATGCTGAGAGAATAGGGAACAGGTTCAGGCTCAGGACTGCACAGTCTCTATCATCCCAGTTACCTCCCCAAACCCATGTTAGCAGGAAGTGAAACCAAGGCAGATGGTCACAGGCTTCAGGGGAGGAAGAGACGGGAGGCAGGATGAGCGGTGGAAACCTTCCACACGGGGCTGAGCTCTCGGGCCTGTTTATGAGGGCAGTGGAGCACAGGCTTGGATGCAGATGGCCTTGGGCCTGGCTGTGCCACTTGCTCACTGCTGTGTACCTGTGGGCAAGTTACTTGAACTCTCTTTGCATCCGTTTTTGAATCTGTAAAATAATTGTACTATCTTACAGGCTAGTTTCGAAGATTGAATGAGTGGATGCATACAGTACCCTGAGAAAAGGGCCTGGCACGTGGTAGGTGCTCATTTATTGTTGGCGACAAGAAGAGACTGGTTTCAGAATAAATGGCCGGGGCTGTTTTTCATTCAGCAAATAACAGTAGTAATCTCTCTGTTTTAAATAGGCAGAGAGGGTTGACAGGTCTGGGGAGGTGCCCACCTAAAGTCAGAAAAGGTCCTTGCCAGCCACATCACAGGATTCAGGGAGATAATGTGATTTATTGTTTATTTAATTTATTTATGCCGTGCTGAGTTCCATGCAGGGTCTGAGCTGTCTTCCGTCTGCTTTCTTTCCATGTTCTGTTGCTTCTTGGTGAATGAGATTAGGGCAGGAATTGGCCTCAGTTCTGGAAGCTGGACTGGTCCTATCAGAGCGATCCCATTCTTTGTGTGTTTGCCTGTACTTGATGCATTGCTGTTGCCTTTGATTCCCTCTGCCTGGCGGGGGTGAGGGGTGGGGGAGGGATTTGTCCACCTGCCATTGTGTATATCCATGCCTTTTTGAAAGACACCTGCCAATGTGACTCTTTTTTCTTTTAAGAAAGCCTCTCTTGTGCTGAAAAACTAAGGCCTCATCCAGTGGCAAAGTCCTCTGTAGGCCAGCCCGGTAGTGACAGCTGAGTCAGGTTATCACAGGCATTTCTGCCACATCTGGATTCCACAAAGCAGACATCAGATGGTGGCCTGAGGGTTCGTGCCATTATATACAACAAGGGTTGTGGTTTAAGGACCTCATCTGCCCCTCCCTGCCCCAGCTGCTTCCTTGTGGGACGTTCTTAGCCTCATGGTAGCCAGGATGTGGGTACATTTCAGGGGACTGAAACTGTCTCCTGTAGTTGCCAGGCACCAGGAACCCCAGCCAGTCAGTGTGTAAGCCCAACCCTGCTGTCGTTTCTGGCTCCCCTATCTCCCTCCACCCACATCCACTCTTTCTCCAGAGTCACCATCCAAGCACAAGACGATACCCTGCCAGTATTAGCTGGTCATTCAGGGCTTCAAACTCTTGAGGGAGAACACCCTGAAATCGGTAGACATCATGCTGGACTGGGACAGTAACTTACTGGGTCACCTTCTTCCTGTCACTTTGCCTCTTCTGCAAAATAGAACTGCCACCCACTGTCCTCACTGTCGTGCCACGAATGTCAAGTTTATATAACTGCAAACCACATTCAGGTCTATTCTGTTTTCCTTTCAAACACAGATACTTTAATGGCCTAAACTACTCTGACCCTGCAACTCTACAGGGTAGCATTAGTTTTTTATAATTATCATCTTGTGACTGCTCATGAGAGACTCACAAAGCACGCATGGTCCAACTGGCTGCCTCCGTAACATGAGGATCACACATTGTCGATAACGATTAGCGCCAAGGCTGAGAAAATGAACATCCAACGGCATCTAGACCAGGAGGAAACACAGGGCACTGGGCTGGAAGATGAGCTGTCCCAGGTGGCCCACTCCACCCAAGGGATGCCCTCCAGTTGACAGCCCCCGTCCTCCCCCCATACAGTCGATTGCCCTTGCTCTCCATCCCAAAGTCCCTGCCCAAGTTCATCATAAAGTGAATGGACCAACTCCTCTCCAGGCTGGAGTGATTCTGCCTTAGTCTCTTTGTTTAAGATTATGGACCAGTGCTCTAGTACTTTACATCTTGTACTGTTGGGTGAAAAATAAAAAGGGGAACTGTAGCTCAGGGGCTGTTAGCAAGTACCAAGAAGGAAAATGGAGCTTGTCCTGCAGTTAGGTGAACAAGACGGTGATTTTGGTCTGAATAGAGCCACAGACAGTGGAGATGAAAAGCTGAAAATGTTTCAGTAGCTGTAAGTCCTATGAGCAGTGGCAATGTCCCCAACATCCTAGGAGGTTTTTTGTTTTGTTTTGTTTAAACTGTAATCACTACAATAAATATTTTTCTTTAGAGGATGAAAGATCTAAATTTGAACACTGTTGTCTATATTCTGTGTAATGGCTATGAGAATGGTAAGATTTTTGTTTTCTCTTAGAAAAGGGAAATTTATCTACATTCCCCTTAAACTTTTAAAAATATATTAAAAAGGAAATTGTTCATAATATGTGTTCTCCGAATGAATAGTAACTTAATAGAAATTATTTTTTCTATTAAAAAATTATTAACATGAGATTGGAGAGGTGTTTTCTTTTTTCCTCCCACCAAGATGAACCTTTGCACATTTGAAATGGCATCTCAAGACAGTTGGGTAGCGGTTTTTATACTGGAAGTAGGGATGACCTTATACCCGGTTCAATTTATAACTTCTTCAAAATTCTGTTATTTCTTCTGCTAATACTTTGTTCTGTGGAATACTTGCTGTGCTCCTATAGTACCCAATAGGAAGCTTGATATACAATTTTAGCAAACCCATATTAGTTACTTCTAAATGAATTTGATTCCCTTCCCTTGAATGTAGACACTTTAATATGGATGCAAATGTTTCATGATAGAAATTTGATGAATATATTACAAATCCCAGTCGCACGTGAAGGGAAGCAGTTTGGTTGGATGTTGAACGCAAGAATAAAATTCCACAGCTTCCCAAGCTCTAAGTAAGAATGTTAGTTGCCCCCAAAAGAAGGATTTTTTTTTAAAAGGGAAAAATCGTTTTTAAAAATCAGCAAGATAATCAACCACTGCAGATTTTGAATCCCAGTCCTGATCAGGAAGCAGGAGAAAGAATTCTCAAATGTACTATGAAGACGTGGCTGTATATGTGAAGAATACAAACTGATTTTAACATTAGAATAAACACAGCAGAGTTTGAAATGCCAACTGAAAATACACATATTGTCTCCCCAAACCTATTATGTATTTGTTCAGTGAACCTTGTCATTGCACCTTTCGAAGGCAGAGGTGGCGTGTGTGCCTCGCCCACACATTCACGACAGATCCTCGCTGGCTGCCATGTTCATTTGTGAGAAATAAAGGAATCTGAAGGTGGTTTGTCCCATCGTGGCCTTGATAAATTAAAAATTTGCATATGTGTGACAATAGTTTCGCAGTCTTAAGAAAGCAAATAAGAAAGTGGAAAGCATTAAAATAAGTGTTGCCCCTAACAAAGCTTTTAGAAATGGACAAATATGAATGGTATTGATGGATTTCAATTGATTCTTTTTAAATGTTTTATTCTGTGGAGTTTGGGAAGTGACCCAAAGCTTTGGGGGAGCTTGTGAGCAGCCAGAGTACTGGTGGCTTTCTGTTTTTATAGAAGCTCAAGCAAATCAGCACGTAAATGCTTCCTGAACATTTTCTGTTTTCAGGAGACCCGCACGAGAAAACAGCACCCGTAAGTGGGAACAATGAAGCAATCTGCTTTGTCTGCTTATAGGGACTTTAAACGGACGCTCCAGCTATAAAATACTAACAATCTCAGCAGGCCTCCTTTCCTCATTTCACAAAATTAATTTTAAGGACAGTGTCTTATAGGAGCTCAATCTTTGTCTGTTCTCTGCACCTCAGATCTGCTCTTCTTGCCTGATTTTCTTAAGCTGACCGAAGCTTTCCTGGAAACGATTGAGGAAAATGGTGTGGTCCTGGGTATTCATGACACTGCCCACAAGGGCTCACTGGCCTGTAGGCTCCATGCCAGCCACCAGCCCATCATTTCTCAGTGAAAAGAACCTTTCAGCTCGGTTACCTCCTGGAGAGAGCTGATTTTCCAGCAGTCAGGCTTGATCTGGGTAAATAATTAGAGAGCTGGAGAGCGAAGACATCACCGTGGTGCTGTCTATGATTCTGCTAATATAGCCAGACCCTGTGATTCCGTCACTGCTGCAGTCTTAAGGCAGCCTTTCTCTGAGGCACGGAGGGAGGGCGGGAGAGAGAGAGAGAGAGAGAAACAGCAACAAAGCCAGTTGCTCGCATTTGTCTTGAAAGAACTAATGACATTTTTCATTCTTTTGGTAAAACCAAGAAAACAGCTGCAGCTCTTTATCTGCATATAAGAAGGTGAATCAAAATAAGCCTTCCTCTCCCACCACCTTCACCTACCAAAACATGCATGCCCCAACGCAATTACTTTGGCATATTGATTTATTTTTAAAACTGTATTGCCTCTAGTTTACTGGAATTTGTAGAGCTCTAGATTGTACAAGCAGATCACATTTCTCATAAAGCAGACCCTGAAGTGGTTAATAGCTTGTTCTTGAACTTTTGCAGCTGCTCATTAAAAGCCAATTAAAAAGAAAAAGCACACTGGCTGTTGTAAAGTATATGTGTCTCTCTATAAATATCCATTATTCTAAAACGTTATCACATTTTATCCCAGCCTTCGGCATGGTGCCCACGGATAAAGAAGAACAAGAGCAAAGTATTAGACAACTGAGGTTCTAGTGAAATTCCCAATTTTTCTCCCATTTGTCTTTTCAGCTGTAACACCTATGGTTAATATGCCATTAATTCTTACTGATTGAGAATCATGATAAGAAGTCCCTTCTGATTTATTGAAAAATACCAGTTGTACAAATGCTGTTTCATTGCTTTTGAAAAACATATATAATTTTGAATGAATAATAAGAAATAGAAAAAGGCAATTAAAATAATATTCACAACAGGCATGTTTAACATGATTATATGTTAACTACAAAGGTCCCTTAACAAATAATTCCCAGACCTACAACTGGAAGACATATTGAAGAAACAAAGGCCATTAGCTTAGGGGGCCTCCCCTGACAGGTGTGGAAGACCCTGACTATCAGGAAAGCTGGAAGTCAACTCTTCCCCCACCTAGGCTGACCTACACAGATTTATTCTTCACAGACTCAGAATTAGTGAGTTCTTACTATAGAGTAGAATGAATACACACTTTTCCAGCAAATATTAGCTGAATCTTCCATAGATATGTGATCTTTAGTCACCAATATGGCAGGCCTTGCTGGATGTTGGTTTAGGACAAACCTGGATGGTCTCAGCCTATTTAGGGTTAAATGACTCTTGAGCCAAGGAGTATGGCACAGTCACACTTCGTATTTCTCCAGCTAAGAGTGTATTCAGACTATATGTCCCAACTCCTTTTTTTTTTTCATCTTTTACCCATTTCATAAAACAGGTTGTCTTGGAACTGAAAGCAGTGATAGTTGATTGATGTTTAACGTGACCCCTCTGAATGGACTAAATGTAGTCCTTTCCTCCCTCTCTTCTTTCCCTCCCTCCCTCCTTCCCTTCTTCTTTCCCCCTCTTCCTCCTTTCTCCCTTCTTCCCTCCCTAAACCCAAGGGGCTTTTCAAGGCTGTTCTGTAGCTGGGCTGAGGAAGATCTTTGGGGACTAGCCGCCAGGAGGGTACATGTGTCAAGAAAGATCGTGGGGTGTCCGGTATGGGGGGGCAGGAGACTGCCAGGGGCATTCTGGTCTGGCACAGGAGGACTGAGAATGTTTTTTGGAGAATCATGGGGCATGACTGTCTTCCTGTCATGGGGCAGTGTAAGGACTGTGGTATTTTAGGTGTTATCAAAGAAACCTCTGGAGAAAAGCAACGTGTAAGAACCCTTTCTCATAATGCCACTTGCAGGTTACCGCTTTCAAAGCAAAGCCAGACTCCGGCCCTGCCCGGGGTAGGAAGTCTTTGTCTGCCTGCGCGCCCGAGCGCTCCCGGCTTGGGATTGATTTTTGGCCCCCGCTGCAGCAAGTTGGGGGCTGGCGAGGAGTGTGGCAGGGACTGGGGGCGGAGTGCGGACTCGCATCCGCTGCCACCTCAGGATTTTTTTTTTTTTTTCAACTTGGAATTTCCATATGACAAAAAAGAAAGAGGTTTCTCTTCAATCTAACGGAGCCATTAACATCTATTAGTAATGCCGACAGGGTAAGTAACGGAGTCGCGCTCTGGGGTGGTCGCCCGGCTGCGTGGTCCTCGGCTGGCCTCTGGCATCGGCTGCTCCTGTGCGCTCCAGGCCGGGTGCGCACGGGTGGCGCGGAGACCCAGCCCAGCTGCCGGCCGCCTGCTCCTCCCCTTCTCTAAGGTAAGGGGTCGTCCTCAAACTCAGCAGGGCTCCGGCGGGCTGAGCTCGCCCCCTCCTCGGACTTCTTTGCGGGGCATTTTCTCTTGCAGGTGTCTTTACGTGTCATTTCTCACGGGGCATTGCCCGCCGCTTTCCTGCAACTGTCCTTTCGGATTTTGTGATCTGGTCCCAGCACAGAGGCTCTCCTAAGAGGTGGTGCCCATGCATATTCATTCTGTCTAGTAACCGGCTGGCCGTCTTGCCATTGCAGGCTGATTTATTGATTTATGTAGGAAGTGTGTTTTATTTTAGTAATTAGGCAACCCTGAATTCATGGGAGCCGTCTGCACTTCGCAGGCATGTTCATTGCTGGGAATGAAAGACAAAGGTTGTCGTGCACCCCGCTTCGTTTTATAGCTAGTGACCATTGACTTTGTTGTTTTGTGGAAAGCTAATTAGGAATGGAATATTTTTTCCCAGAGGAATCACTGAAATAAATATTAGTGTTTATAAAGCCCACAGCTTTTTTTTTTCTTCTTTAAATAACATTTGACAGGTTACTGCTACTGTGGTGTGTTGTAAAGATTGGAAAGTGTGGTGTGTTGTTTCAGTTTAGGAATGAGTCTGGGGTTGATGTTGTCTGTGGGACAGTCACTGGCATGTTCCCATAAAGGTACATGAAAACAAATGCTGCCTTTTCATTACAAAGGATATCACAGTGAACAGAGAGACATCACTTCAACTGGATTTGCTGTATCCTTATTTTATTCTTAAACTTTGGTTTTCTTCTTTCACATCCCGCTATCCATTCATCCACAACCCCATGATGAAAAAAAAATCATCTCCACAGACTCTAATTTTTTTCAGGAACTCTATTATGCCTATAAACTTGACCTGGATTGTGTTACTAATTTGGTAGGTTATTTTGTCATACAGGAAATCACAGCCTATGGGTCGATATGTGCATATGAACCCCTCAGCTAAATTATCTAAATTGTTTTTAAAAGATATTTTTAGGTCAGTGAACACTTAGCAAAAATATCTTTACAGATCTCGATAAACCTATTTTTAGTGTCAGTACTTTAAAAGCTTGCTCAATGCAACTGGTTCTAATCAATGTAAAATGTGCTTCTAACAAAAGACGTTTATATTGTTGATGATTAAATTATTCTAAATTTCCTTTATGGAAATAGCTGATCTAAAAACAATAGAAATTTCACTGTGTAAAATACTACTCTGATTTTTAACTCTAGAAAATGTATGTATTATTATATTCTTGGAGGAAGACGCCGTGTAAGAATGCATAACTAAAGTACAGTAACGTTTTTCCTGGGTTCATGTTTTCTGTAAACTTGCATATTTTATTTGATATGCTTCTGTCACTTTTAACAAATTCACTTAATTTTTAATATACTGTGAATTTATATTACATATTAAATAGATAAATATAATATTCATGCATATATACACATGATTTAATCTATGGATAAAACGACAGCCATTAGGGTGAGAATAATGAAGCATCTGCCTCTATGAGAAAGAGCGAAAGGGAGAAACCACCCCAGATTGGTAACTTATAAGTAACCAGCATGAAAAGGGGCCAAAAAGCTTTTCTTTTCCTTCAGTTCTTAAATAAGCTTTTCCTGGTGGCATCATATTCATGTTGGAGTGATTAAGTAAAAACAAGAAGACAGAACATTTCCTAGGCAATATGTTGTTTTTATTTTGAATATTTACTATAAAAATTTTTGAAATGCCTTTATCGTCTGCTGAAAAGTAATCATAGAATTGATATTGTTGCAGATGGTGTGAGGATAGATTTTTAACAGTAATGATAGTAGATACGAGTTGGAATGTGATTGTTAAGCTTAGGAAAAAAAATCTAACATGTAGATATGGGGTGTGTTTGGCGTCTTTGTGCTTGTTTTATAGAAGGCACGTTACCTTTGTCTTCAAACCACAGCACTGATGTATCACACATGGAAGCAATGTGTAACGACTTAACACAGCAATAATACATTTAGTGTAGTAAGCAGTAGGTCTTGAGGATAGCAGAAACTTACCACAGAGAATATAAGGAATGAAATCATTAGAGTGTTGCTGGGCTGACTGCATCCTGAGCAAAGAGATGTTATGCCTTGAAATGTGAATTTTTGAGTGAGCAGACAGTATGCCCTCCCCTGGCCCACCTTTAGTGGCACTGTGTCTATGTGGCCTTTTGTTTACTGTAGGTAGAGTTGACACTACATCCCTGAGGAAGATTATGGTGTATATATACAATCTTTTACTGATGATCTGAATTCTTGTGTAGTCCTATGAAATGCATACACACAAACCCATTAATTAAATAGTAACCCAGGAGAGCATGTGTTGGTGAAGTCATTTTTAAATTCATTTAAAAGACTGTAATAGAAATTTTAAAACACCGCTACAAACCATTACCCTTCAGATCACTAGCTGAGACTTTTTTAACCTAGAAAATGACCTTTTCTCTACCAGGTACTCTTGACCATTAAAAAGCATTTTTGTTGTTTGTTTAGGCTTCTATTCTAAGGAAGATTAATAAAGTGGAGTATCACTCAGTATCAGAAACATTTGAGACAAACCTCCTATTTGAGGTTTGGCTTTGAGGTCAAACTATTGGTTCAAGGATTCACTAACAAAAATACTTTCCTCACTTTCATGAATAATTAAAAGGGAGCTGTTTAATAGAAAAGCCTGTACCTGGGCAGTGGTATTGTTTCACGGTCTGCTGTGGTTGAATCAAGAAGCAGGGGAAAGTCCCTTCCACTTTGCAGGTACTGGTGATCAGCCCCTGTTTATCAGGGGGGAGGTTGGGAATGAAATTACTGGGGAGTATTAGAAATTATTTGTGTAGGTATTTACTGATACAGAAATCTATGCACTGTATTTTTTAATGTGGCCAAAAGTAAAATGGAATTCTTCCAGTGGCTGGCTGTGGGCCTGGGGCATTCTTGTTAACCACTTAGGATGTCTTGAATTTCCCTGAGAAATTCAATGGAATAAAAAGACCTGCCCACACTGGTAGAGTGGACCTCCATTTGTAGCCAGTATTTGATGTTTAGCCATCTTCTAGTCAAAGCTTTCGCTGGCCTCACTTTCACATTATTATTTTGGGACCAAGATGATTTTCTCCCCAAAAGAACTATGTCTTCTGTATACTTGAAAAGGGCCTGATTTTGGTAGTATTTTGCAGAACTCAGTTCCAGAGAGACAGTACAATACCTTAGTGGTTTCTTCTTTATGTAATGTACATATTTTAAGCACTTTATTTCAGGTCACTGGCCTATTTTGCTACTCTAGATGATTGACCAATGTTAACAAACCGGACATACCTTGGAAAGAATAAATTAAGAATGGCTCCAGGAAGCCCCAAAGGCCCTCAGTAACTAGTTTCTAATAGATTCAAGGAAAAATCCTCTTAACCTTTCTTCAGATTTTATCCCCAATACAGTGCTCTCCTGGTTGATAATCAATAAAGACTCATGAGGGATTTGACTTGCAGTGAGGTTTCATTGTCTCTCCCCTCAGAGAATTTCTCTCTAACAGTCTCCAGGTGGCTGAAGAGTAAAACAAGTCATTTTCCTCTGTGCTTCAGGATTACAATATGAAAATCAAGTGTACAGTAGCGTCAAGGTATTATTGAATTATTAGACAGCTTATGGTTTTTGAAATTAAGTAGTGATAGTAGCATTGTGGAATATCTAGATATGCCTGGCAAACACTGGATACTATCACTGTGCTTACACAGCCCAGAGATAAACTTTTCTGATATATTTTAGGCATATATTATAGCATAACCTTCACGCCTTTGGAGAACTATCATAAGTAAAATGTGATGGGTAGGAAAATAAGACTGTGTGCTCATTGGGTCTGAGTGCTAAATTAGGCTTGGAAATTGACCAGTTTGCCTTTTACTTAACTCCAAAATCCTTAAGACAGGAACCTGTCCGGGAGGCTAGTTATATGGAACAGACACATTGATTACACACTGTAGTCACCTCTTTTGCAGACCCCTCTCTCCTGTCCTGAAGAATTTCCTTTCTTCCAAGCAAGCCAGAGGTAGGAGAAACAAGAGCAAGGGAGGCAAGCAGTGTTGCTGAGGTCCTTCCTCTACTGTATCATGTATATGCTTGAGCAGGTAACTTGGTACTGCCAAGGGCGTGGAAGGGGAGTTTCCTGTGTGTTGGCACAGCATGAATCAAGCAGCCAGGAAAATGGTGGAAGGGAAACAGTAACTGAGAAATTGTTTCCTCTGGGCTGTGGGAGTTAAAGGGCCATGTGAGACCCCTCCTGTTACGTCTCTACCACCAGCTACCTGGAGGGCTAGATTTCCCTTCCTGGTTTAGCAGACATGCTCCCTGGTTCCTTCCTGGAAAATACCATTATGGTTACAGACACGACATTCTTAAGATGTCGCTCTTGGTCACAATGACAGTCCAGTAGAACTGGAATCAGGTTGAGCTATATGAAATTGCTGATGTTCGGCCATTTCTGACCTATAAAAATGAGAGTTATTTATCTCCCTATTTCTAATCTTGCTCTACTTCTTTGCACAGCAACCAGATCATGTAATTCCCCTGCCTAAAAATTCCCACTGGCTTCTCAGTGCACTCAGAATAAAATTCAGGCTCTTTACCTCGGCTTCCTTGGAGGTCCTCTAGGAGCTGGCCCCTGCCTGCCCTTCTTCTCCATCTCCCTCCTCTCCTGCAGGACTCTGTTCCTTCCAGGCTGGTTTCTCAGCTGTTCCTAGAACTCACCAGCCATTTTGTGCCTTGGGATCTTTGCATTTGCCCCTTGCACTCCACAGCTGGCTCATTCTTACAATGTAAGCCTCAATTCAAACTTGACTTGCTCAGAGAGGTTGTTCTGGTCCTTATATCTAAAGGAAGCCTTCCACCTAAACCTCCTTAGCCCATTTTATTTTCTTCCAAGTACTTTATTCCTATCTAAAACACCCTGCTTTTGTTTTTGTAAATACAAGATCTCGCCATGTTGCTCAGGCTGACCTGTCTCAAACTCCGGGCCTCAGGCAATCCTTCGTCCTCACCTTTTCTGCTAGCTGGGATTACAGGTGTGAGCCACTGTGCCCAGTTGAAATTCCCTTTTTTATTGCCTTACTTCTTAATGGTTGTTCCCTTTGTGATGGTGGGGAAAGGAGCCAGCACGCTGCCCGTCTTGCTCTCTGCTGTGTCCCCGCTGACCTGGAGCACAGCAGGTGCTTAGTAAGCATTTGTTGAGTGAACATATTGGACACCTTTGTGAACCACTGCAGCCTCTCAGCTTGCAGCCATTGCAGAACCTAGTTATAAGCAGCTGCTGGCAGCTTCCCTCAGGTACAACGAGGGGTGCCCTCCCACGAGGAATTCCTGCCTCTCACTTCCTGTCCTGTGCTAGCCATTACCCTAGAGTAGGACCCTCTCCATAAGGCCTGGCAGAGATCTACTTTCCCCATTCATCCTCTACTGATAGTTCTGAAACCCATTTGTTTAGGCTCCCCGGATTGTCCTTGTAAGATCCAGTCCAATCACCCATAGTGGCAGCCAATCCAGTGATGCCTCCTATACTCTCTTGACCTCCTCCCCCATTTCATTCTCCTGTCCCCACTCCTGTTAAACTGTCTGCCTGCCAGCCACTGTTGTAGGCAGTGCTCTTGGGGGAACTCAGACTAATGAATGAGATGAGTACCATTGCAGAGGCAAGTAAGGTACAATAGGTGGCACGATCTTCTTCTTAAAATATCTCATTCACTAAGTTGCTATACTATCCCGTCTATTTGGTAACAGCTAAAAGTTAAAAAGAAGTTACAGTTTTAAGTTAAAACATTTAATCCTCATGGCAACCCCATTCCCACTGACTAGAAGGAAACTGAGGCACCGTGACATTGAGTAACTGGCTCAAGGTCCCACAGCAGTCAGGGGCAGAGCTAAGTGCAGGCAAGCCATGCCCACCTACTCTCTTAACCTTATATGACCACACTGTCATGGCTCATGTTACTCACAGCCTCAGTCCCTCCTTCTGAGTCTCTCTGTCTCTGCTGTTTTTCTTTGCCTGAATCCTTAAGGCTCTCAAAGTGGCACACACACCCAAGATGCCGGGAGACCATAATCTAGTGCTAATAATTCTTTTTGCCCCATTGACTACAAGAGTTAACTTGTAACAGGACAAGCAGGAGCCCACACAAAGCTGACCCCAGCATTCAGACCAGCTGTGTGGTCTCTCTTTTACCCTAAGGATTGTACTTCTGTGTTTCAGCACAGTAGTGAGGGCTTTGGTGATGGGGAGTCTGTATTGCCCTGTCCAGCGTTGGGAGCTGGGACAAGCCCCCTCACCATTCCTTCAGCCCCGTTTCCTCTTCTCTCCTCACTTAGCCACCTCACGGCATTTTAGGGATTGAACATGACAAAGTTTGTAAAGTGTTGAAGGTACCCAGCTGCTGGCAAGCACTCAGTAGACAGTGGCTAAGATTGTTCTTTTTGTAGTAGATATGGGGTAAAGATGGGACTTGAGGTGGGCTGGATCCAGGGAAGGGGCACATCTTCTCTATTGTACCTTTGAAAACACTATCTGGTTTCACCTTGCCTCTAAGCCAGAGAAGATGGAAGTGCTAGATAGAATGAGACAAGGAGATACCATTATCTTTCATTTCCTCCCCTCCCTAAACTCCCTGCTACTCTGTCTAGACCTGCCTTGGATTCTGCCTTTTGTTCTAGGCATCTGGAAGCCTAGGCATGAGCCCATGTCTTCTCACAGCCCATGGCATGTCTGGGGGACAGGTGGTCTTGCACCAGGAAGCATGGGTGCAGTCTGTCTGCGAGGCCCTGAGGCCTGCTTGGGCAGCCCCCATGGGACTGGCCCCTGTGAGGAGGCTGGTTGAGGTCTACACATCATCCCACACTGTTGGAGGCAGAGTCTCCAGAGGCACTTCCAGAGCAGATGCCAGGCTGTTAGGCCACAGGCAGAGGGAAGCTGGGGCCTGGGTGGCACTCTCCAGGCCATCTGATTCCTCTGTAGGGACCCTGGTACCTGCTGTGGATAGGCTTCCCAGCCAGAGTCAGGCTCACTTCCTCCATGTGTGAGGGGGGTGAAATCAGCACAAATAGTGACAAATGCACTTAAACGTTTCCTTCCCAGTTCATGCACATGTAGGTAGACGTATTTATTTTCTGCATACTTTCTGATTAGAGATGATGTGTACTACATGTGTACTACATACATATTACATAGTATTATAGTTTTTCGTTGGTTTATATATTGAGGGTGTTGCCCACCCAGGGACATAGGAACTGGAGGATGTGCATTAGCTTTGAGAAGAACTGAAGTGGCTTCTCCTGCTGCCTGGCCCTTTGAGTAGCAGGTGAGCCACCTGGAGATCAGTGGTTATGGTAGATTGGCACACGCTGGACTTCGTTTCAGCATTTATTTATGGGGACTGCCAATCTCCTTCAATGCTTGGGACTCTTCACTTGACAGATATTCATTGTCTAGACACAGGGCCCTCATGCATCAGAGAAGGAGCATTTCAGGGCAGCTTTAAGTGATATCCTGTTGACACTGTTTATAAAACCAAGGAATAACACATTAGGCAAAAGTGACATATTGAAAATAAAATATCTTTTGCCAGTCCCTTCCTATGGAAAAGGTAGAATCTTTGAATAGGCAATGAATAGATTGTTTTGGTATCTCTTATTACTTTGGATTTCTATTGTAAAACCAAGTCACACTTGGAGAAACTAATTTTCCAACTTTGTCCTCAACTCTGATGGAAGGTAGCAGGGTCATTATTGAGCAGAAGTGACCAGAACAGCCATTTCTCTTCTTCTATGTCTTCTATTATTGTGCCCAGAAAAAGTACTCTAAAATAACATTGTCTTTTCATTAGAGTCTCTTTAAATCCTGTTGGTTCCAGTAGCACATTACCCATTACTGTAAAGGACTCTGTGACTGATTTCTCAGGGTGTTTCCTTTAATATCATCTTTACATGTTGCTTATGATTTTGTTGTTCTCTTCCTCATTAGCATGTCAAATCAGGTGTCCCCAAAGCAAGGCTTTTGTCTTTCTCCTGTCCATCATTGTACAGGGCTGTATGTGTTTCTGCCGACAGCTGGAGGGCAAAGCCAGCAACACCTTTTGAGTAAAAATCTGCATGTAATTAAAGATCTTTTGTAGATCAGCATTTGTAGTTCCTTTTCCAGGCTTCGTAGTTCCAGTTTACTTGTAACTCCATCTTCGTCTTATTTGAGGAAATGTCACTGTGTTTTCGAGCCCACAGGAGAACTAGGTCAAGTGTTTTAGATCTTTTGCTTTGTTTTTTCTTTTAATCGTATTTTTGTTTCTAAAAGCTTAAAAGTGAAAAAGAAAAGCAGGAATATGGAAAAGTAAAACCATTAATTGGTCATCAGATTAGAAATGCAAAATTGCCAATAACATAACATGTCCATGTCCATAACAGAACTAGGACTGCCATACATAATTTATTCAAATGCTTTCTCCACTATTCCCTGTTCACTTTCAAAAGAAGGAAGTGAATTGGCCTTGTGCACTGTTGAGAGTCACTTTGCATATGAAATGGTTGACTTTCTCACCCCTCTTCCACTTGATTCTTTGTCCATGTACAGTACCATTCTAAATCTATCAATTCCTCTTGGTCATCATTTAAAAATTCACATTGATATCAGCATAATGTGAATGAAATGCTTTACAAATTTGCATTACGATGGGAAGACACAAAGTAGGCTGGCTTAGGTTACCCTATGGAGACTCCATGAGTATATCTGTTGGCTTGATTCCCAGGATTGTGGTTTAAATCTGGCCCAGGTAGAGTTACCAGATGAGAAGTTTATGTTCAATCAAGAAATACTTCATGGGAATTGATGGATAAATGGAAAGACAGTGAAGGAGAGTGTCATATAGAGCTCCCAGTACTGTAATCACCCAGGGATCCAGGAGTTCCTAAATGGGGGTGAGGTACATTGAAGACCACCTGGGAATAATTTTTTTTTTTTTTTTAATTTTGAGACAGGGTCTCACTCTCTTGCCCAGGCTGCAGTGTAGCGGTGCAATCATGGCTTACTGCAGCCTCGACCTTCCCAAGCTCAGGTGATCCTCCCACCTCATCCTCCCAAGTAGCTGGGACTACAAGACAGGGCTTTGCCATGTTGCCCAGGCTGGTCTTGAACTCCTGGGCTCAAGTGATCCTTCCACTTCTGCCTCCCAAAATGCTGGGATTACAGGCATGAGCCACTTCACCCAGCCAAGGCTGATTATTACACATTCAGATCCCCAAGCCACCTCTTCCCAAACCTGAGGTTCTCATTCAGTAGGTCTGAAGGTGGGCTTGGTATTCTGTATTTTAACCGCTTTGGTGACTGACGAGCAGCCTGATTTGGTTTCTTAGCTTCGGTTTCCACATCCCTAAAAAGAGGGTAATAACATCTATTTCACAGAGTTGTTGGCAGGAACTGAAAAATGTGTGGGAAAGGGCCCTGGGAACCGTGAAGCGAGACAGACTAGGACGTGCTGAATTAGTGGGTTTAATTCTCAGCCTCCTTCTGAAGGAGTCTCTACTTTCCACCCCAGACTGAGGTTCAAGCCCTGCCCATGGGTCTCAGGATGCTGAAAATATTTTGTTCCCAGTAGGATCCTGTTTTCAGTCTTCCTCTTTGCACACCAAAATGTCAGCAAAGGCCTTCTAGCTCCCTAACTCTGTTCTCATTCTTAGATCTCAGCGCAAAAGGCACTTCTTCAAGGGAGCCTTCTTTGTATTGTTGTTTAAAGCAGTCCAGTGAGAAAGACGAAGTTCCCTATAGCTAAGAGATTGTCTGTTCTCTCTTGTATCCCCAAAACCCTGACTGTGCCTGGCACACAAAAATATGTTGTGCGTGGTCAATACAGGGAGAAGGGAGAAAAGAAATCAAGGAATCAGGTACCCTAAATAGGACTCAACTTTGTGCCTTGTTTTGTGACTTGTCAATCAACCCAAAATAAGGAGCCAGGAAAGTTCATCCACGTATTCCCACTGCCACCACCTCCCTGAAGCTTTAGCTGTTCTACTGTAGAGCTCATTATCTTCCCCCTAGACTCCTTGCATCCCCATTTCTGATAAAAGCACAGCCAGCCATCAGGCTGTCCAAGTCACAGATTTTAGCATCATCATTGAGTTTTCCCTCTTCCCCACCGCCCAAGGCCCATCTATTCTGCTTTTATCACTTCTCTGGTTCCATGCATAGAATGTGAAGTTTGGGGCCAGAACTGCATGGTGATGGGGCCACTGACACCCGGTAATTCAGACACAATTACTCTCAGGCCATTCCCACACCCTTGCCTGTTCACCCTTTGTCATCCCATTCCAGTTCTCAGCTTCCCATGGGGTCTCCCTGCCTGCAAACACAGATGTGATGATCTCCACCTTGCATTCTTCTAACATAGTTCTCAGAGATGGGGTGAAGGCAGAAACCTGTTCCTTGAGAGCTGTAGGTGACTCAGGGACAGGGGCTGGATAGTTTAATGTAGAGTTTTTAATACTGTCGTTTTATATTTGGGAATGGGAAAAGAACACAGAGAGGCAAACTGGTGGACTTGTGCCACATAAACCAAATGATACCACCCCAACTCCCCTGGTGCACGCACATGCCTGTGTGTGTGTGTGTGTGTGTGGAGGGGTGGGCATTTCAGAATCTCTTGGGAGGGGGTGTGACCTTTTTTTGGTTACTTTTTTAGTAAGGGCACATGGATTTAAAATGGCCAGACAATACTGGATTAATGGCCCTCAGTTGCTCCAATAAGGGTTTGTCATTTCTAGGGGGAAGGAAAAGATATGCTGCATACATAGCCCCAAAACCTGCCACCCAGCCCACCTCAGCTGTACCTTACATGCAGGGCGCTACCATTGAGCATGCATCTCAGATCTGAAAGCCGAGTCTCCAGGGGCAGTGAGACAGAACCGGTGCACCCCCATGTTCCTGCCATGGTTGCCCAGTTCTGCAGCATGGCATTCCTAGCCCAGTCCAGGTGGGCACCCCCACTCAGCCTGCCTTGGCTGCAGAAACTCCCTCCACTCATGTGGCCCTTCAGCCACTCCAAAGTAATCAGCTCTTTTAAAGAGGGTCTTAAGCTGGATTTTGCCAGGGGTGGGAGACAGGCTGCCAAGGTTTGAAATTTGCTGGCCTTCCGCAATCCACACCTCTGGCCAAGATTCCCAGATCCCCATCAGTTTCGTGACTTTTCCTCTCTAATACCACCAAGCCCTGTAATGCTTTATCATAAGATGTTGTAGGTCTCATGATACAGGTAGTTTCTGTTATTCATTCCCATCTTCCTCACTCAAATCCACCTTTGTGTCTTTAGCACTCCTTAAGGACAGGAATCCTGGCAAATCCACCTTTGTGTCTTTAGCACCCAGCACAGTGAGTGGTGCACTAAATAAAGACTACTAGGTGGATGGGTGGGTGGGTGGATGGATAGATGGATGGATGGGAAGGAAAGGAAGGAAAGAAGCATTCCTGGTATTCATAAGATGAATAATGACAGCCTTTGCAGTTTTCATGAAAGACAGGGCCAGAGATACTTCTCTCCTGAAAAACTCCTTTTGAATATAAATGTAACCACCACAGCTGAAATTGTAAATTGCGAAAAGATCAAAAGCTTTGACTGAAGCCCACTTTCTTTTTTTTTTTTTCTTTTCTTCCTTTATCTTTTTTTTTTTTTTTTTTTTTTTTTTTTTTTGAGACAGTCTTGCTCTGTCTCCCAGGCTGGAGTGCAGTGGTGCCATCTCAGCTTACTGCAACCTCCGTCTCCTAGGTTCAAGCCATTCTCATGCCTCAACTTCCCAAGTAGCTGGGATTACAGGTATGCACCACCAAACCCAGATAATTTTTTTTTTTTTTTGAGACACAGTCTTGCTCTGTTGCCCAGGCTGGAGTGCAGTGGCACAATCTTGGCTCACTGAAGCCCCTGCCTCCCCAGTTCAAGCGATTCTCCCACCTCAGCCTCTCGAGTAGCTGGGATTATAGGTTCCTACCATTACCCCAGCTAATTTTTGTGTTTTTGGTAAAGACAAGGTTTTACCATGTGGTCAGGCTGGCCTCCAATAAAGACCTGCACAGTTACTGTCTGTAGGAAATCAGTTCGTGTAGCTGGACCTTTTCATCAATGCCCCTTTCCTGTACTGTCCCAGGAATTTCGAGGTGTCCCCCCCATCTGGTTGCTCTTGCTTTCCCACTCTTTTCTTGAGATCACTGCCCTTTTTCTAGGGGTGTATGGCATTGGCTTCCAAAACTCATGCTTCTCGGTGGGGCCAGATCTCAGCCTGATCTGATGTCTGAGCAAGGGTGGGGCTGGCACAGTGAACAGATACAACGTGGGTGTGGGCTGTAGGCTACACTGTGTTTGGTGGGTATAGGAGGCTTTTAGGATACCAGGCTTTCAGCCACTCTGCCTCAATAATTAAATAGTCCCTCCTCCCACAGTGACTTATGGTGAGGTTGCAGGAATAAGAGGGAATTCACTTTTTGGCCTTCTTTAATATTATTCCTTTAAGGAACATTAGACATTATGATAGGAAGACCAAAAATCAAAGACAATATTCTACTTCAGATCTTTTTTAAAAGAGGGAAGATATGGGTATAAAATCCCACTCAGTAAAAATTCTCATAGCTACATGGATTTAATACTCTTTATTTCAAGGTAAATTTCAATTTCTCATTATTTAAATTCAGAAATCTTAGGCTGTCACCAACATTTCAGACAATTTACTGTTTTACAAAATAATATTAATGATAATAAGACAACAGTATAGTGATCCTGAATGGTTCTCTAACTGAATGTCACATAAAAAATAATTGTTTAGAGGCCAGGCCTGGTGGCTCACACCTGTGTAATCCCAGCACTTTGGGAGGCTAAGGCAGGCTGAGCTCAGGAGTTTGAGACAAGCCTGTGCAACATGGCAAAACTCCATCTCTACAAAAAATACAAAAAAAATTAGCTGGGCCTAGTGGTGCACACCTGTAGTTCCAGCTACTTGAGAGGCTGAGGTGGGAGGATTGCTTGAGCCCAGGAGATCAAGGCTGCATTGAGCCATGATCACACCATTGCACTCCAGCCTGGCGACAGAGCAAGACCCTGCCTCAAATAATGATGATAATAATAATAATAGTGGCCGGGCACGGTGGCTCATACCTGTAATCCTAGCACTTTGAAAGGCCGAGGCAGGCAGATGGCCTGAACTCAAGAGTTCGAGACCAGCCTGGGGAACATGGTAAAACCCCATTTCTACTAAAATACAAAGGAAATTAGCCATGCATAATGGTGTGTGCCTGTAGTCCCAGCTACTCGGGAGGCTGAGGCAGGAGAATAGCTTAAACCTGGGAGGCAGAGGTTGCAGTGAGCCCAGATCGTGCCACTGCACTCCGCCATGGGCAACAGCGAGATTCCATCTCTAAAAATAGTTTAGAAACAAGGTTTTCTCGTGGAGAAAATTCTGAAGGCTTTTCTCTCTTTCCCCATTGTCTTTCATTTTCCAATCAGATTGCAGAGGTGATTCCTTTAGCCTTTTAGTCAGCAGTTTTGATATTCTTCAAATCCAGTATCCACCTTTTGCGTCTTGGTGTTGGAGTCAAGCCTCTGTTGCCAAGTTTTTCTGTTCTGCGGCCACCAGTACGCGCTTTGGAGAGTTCAGTGCCTTCGTGAATGCGTCTTTTCTATAACACCACCGCTTTTTACATCAGCTATATGGCACACATTCTCTGATTCTGAAAGGCATATATGTTCATTTTAGACCATTTGGAAAATACAAAAAAACTCTGAAGGAAAAAGAAGCACCAGCCAGAGTCATCCCCCTTAGGGATATGACTGATAATCCCTTCACCTAATTCTCCTCGTCTTGGTCTGTACAGATATGAGCCATAAATTCAAGGGCAGCCCTACATGCAGATTTATATCCTGTTTTCTTCCAAAAGGAAACTTTTATTTTGAGCATGTTCTCATGATATTAAGCATCCTCTCTGAACACGAAATGTTAATAGATAAATAATATTCCACCATGTGGAACTACTTGAATGTGATCGTTCATCTACCGGTGGACATTTAAGTTGTTTCTGTTTATCACAAGCATGAACAGTGGTTGTTCATTAGTGGACCTTCATGCATGTCTCTGGCCATGTACATCTGCTCCTGTAACTTTGTAAATTGAGGTTTATTGTACGAGCAATAAAACACACAGACCGTTAGTGTACACACCTAAATATGGATACACCTATGTGATATGCCACATGAAAGTCTCCTTTTACATTTCCCTGTACGTTAATTTTGCATTTGTTTGTTTATGAGTATTCAAATACAAGCAGTTGCCAGGAACTTTTCATGTATGGTCTCATTTTATGCTCATGGGCACTCTCTGATGGAGATGCAGCTGTCCCACCTATCCACTTGAGACCTTTAACACTCTCAGCACCTGAATAGCTCGCCCAAGGTCATATAGCAAGTCAGAGTGAAGTCAGGGTGAAGGCGTTTGGATTTACATTTTGCCTGCACACAGAATTTTAATTCTGTATATTTTCTCTTAGATAATTAAAAATAAAAGCTGCCAATATCCTTCGATAAAAAACCATTGAATTTCATTTTGTTTGTTTTTCCCTTTACAACTACACTTAGGGGTCAGTAACTGACCACACTCCTTCTCCTGGTTGTAGCTTATGTTTAAAATCAGCAGGGAACTGGCATTGCTGCCTTCTGGTTTTGGTCATGCATTTTTCTCAGGGCTGGAAGGCACCATTGACTGTCATGGAGCTACAAGCCCTCACCTACCCACTCACACCCCTCCCACAGACTCAGGCTTTCCCCAGTTCTGTTACTGCAGAGAAGCACTTCTGAGCACAGAAGCTGATGACAGCCACTTAGCAAGTTGTCTTGGGCTCTGTTGCCAAAGCACAGGGAGAGACAACCTCAGTTAAGGTGCACAATTTAGACTGGGGACATGAGAGAAACTTCTGGTCCATTTTCCAGCCTGCCTAATTTACAAAGATGACACTGAGCCCAGTTGTCTGCCTGGGGAGACAGGCCATTAAGAGCCGGCCTGAGCCTGGAACTCAAGGATGTCTGCCTCCCAGCATCTCATCAGATCAGTGGACACACACTTGGGGTAGATGGCCTGGGCCTGTCAGATGTCACACTGCTTCTTGAGGACACAACCTGATTAAAGGCAGTCAGGTTGAATAGCATCCCAAGTGCATTCCCACTGATGGGAAATTTAACAAGACAGGAAAAATTGTCTTACCCAGACCTCCTCAATGTATGTGGTTAAGAGGACTTCTAGGGCAAGGCGTTTGGGGCAGGATGGGGTGAGGACTCGTCAGCCCCTCAAGGAGCAGGCTAGATTAGGTAATCTATGAACTGCCATCCAAGGTATGTGTCCAGTTAACCCCAGGACTCTGGTTCACTGCATGGGTTGTGCAAGTTTGGGGCCAGCATGGCAATGGGGCCATCTGCCCCCAGTAATTCATACAGAGCAGCAGGGTTTGAGGCCTGGTTTAAGTATGAGCAAGTTGCCCTCCTTCTATACCAGCCCCCTTATTCCATCCAGCCCAGGGCCCGTGTGTGCCCAGGAGGATGTGCTTTCTTTGGGTCCTTTCATCCTCTCTGGAAGTAGAGGTGTTAGGAGGCTGCTCACCAAACCACCTGTGCCTCTCAGCTAGTTCCTGTCTTCTCAGTGGGGCTGATAGGCATGATGACAATACCACCTTAGGGAAGTGGAGAGAATTAAATATGTTGGTGGCTACAGAGCATGTACAGTGGTGCCCAGCCCAGTAAATGGTAACTACTGGCTTTTATTTTCTTCTCGACTATCTCTGACCCTTAATTCTTCTACATTCCATTTTCCCTTGTTTCTCTGATGCCTTTCACACTGTTACTCTGATAAAAGACTTAAACTCTGCTATTCTGTGAAATTGGTATTATTTTACTTAGAGTTAAACTTCCTCCCATTTTTTTCATGTTTTTCCATAATGTTTTGCATTTTTTCTGTTATAGGACTTAAAGCCTTGGTGTAAAAGTTGCAGTCTCTCACTAGACAATGCTTCTGGAAGGGAGGAGCTGCTGGATACCCAGCGCTTAGCCAAGATTCTGGCCTAGAGCAGGTGCTAGCAGATGCTTATTGAGTCAATAATTTTCCTTACAAATAACCCTTAGAAAGACAAGGTCACTGGTGGCTGGGGGATGTCCTCAGGTAATCCACACAGACACTTCTTTGCAACATCATGTTATCACTGTCAGGGGCCACCCCTTCCTTCTTTCCCCTAGACTGCCTTACTTCTGAAGTCCTTTTCTTTCTTTCCTTTCCTTTTCTTTCTTTTGTTTTCTGAGACAGGGTCTCATTCTGTCACCCAGGCTGGAGTGAAGTGGCACAAACACAGCTCACTGCAGCCTTGACCTCCCTGGAGTATTTTATCCTCCCACCTCAGCCTCCTGAGTAGCTGGGTCTACGCATGTGACACCATGCCCAGCTAATTTTTGTATTTTTGGTAGGGATGGGGTTTCACCATGTTGCCCAGGCTGGTCTTGAACTCCTGACCTCAAGCAATCTGCCTGTCTTGGCCTCCCAAAGTGTTGGTATTATAGGCGTGAACCACTGTACATGGTCTGAAGTCCTTTTCTTAGCATAAGTGATTTCCTTTGCTGCAGATGAAAAAAAAATAATAATGTTCTTCTTCCATCTCTTCTATTCCTTTGCTGCAAAGGCAAAGAGAGGAGAAGATGCCAGGGGCAAAACATGCATTCAAGACGTCTGTTTTCTCTTTCTAGCCTACGACTTGAAGGTGGTAAGAAACCAGCCTGTGTTTTTTTCCCCCTTCTGGTTTGTAGCATCTCTAAGAAGGGGATAGAAAGTCAGCATTCCTTATTTGTTGAACTGGCTGCTAGTATAAAGGATCTGGGGCACCCGGGGTCAGTGGAACTTGGCCACCTCAGCGCCTTAGAGCTCATGCCAGCTCATCTTCTCTCACCCTTCTGGTGTGAGTCAGTCATCTGGGAAATTCTGATTTCGTAGCTGGGCTACTGGTAGAATTGACTGCTGTTGCAGATTAAAGGAAAAAGGGCTGTTTAGCCATCTCAATAAATGTATGAAAAGCTTCTGATAGAAATTTGATACCTATTCCAAATTTTTAAAAAATTATTTCTAGTGTGATGAGAGGACCTTATAAAGGGCATCTAACAAAAACACCCAGTGTACATCCTGAACGGTAAAACATGCAGAAATACGGCAAAGGTGCCCAACTTTACCGCTTCTCTTTAGCATTGTGTATTGGGAGTCTCAGCCACTATGACACAACAGGGAAAAGACATAAGAGGTATAGAGATTAGAAAGGGAAGAAGTTTCATGTTTTTCAAACCATATGGTAGTCTATGTAGAACATCCAACATAATCTAAATGATTTGAACTATTCTGTGAATTCAGAAAGTTTAATGGATACCAGTTTGGTAGCATTGCTAAGTACTTACAACTTCTTAGTAGAAAATGAAATGTAAAAGATTTCATTGTAAAAACTAAGAAACAAAAATCTAATAACAAAAATGTGAGATGTGTATACGGATAACTTTAAAATGTTTTGAAAGCCATAAGAGAATGACTAAATAAATGATAATATAAATGAATACTGTAAAAATGGCAAGTTTCCCCAGATTAATTCAGTTTAATTTAAACAAAAGCTTCAAAAAAGTTTTTCACAGGATTTAACAAGCTAATCCTGAGGTTCTTGCAGAAGAGTAAAGGGCCAAGAAAAGCCAAGACAAAGAATAAAGAAGGTAGTCTTGCCCAAGTAAATAGGATTTTTTAATAAAGATATTTTTTAAATCAGGTATTTTTCAGAGATCAACATGTCCTATTTGGTTTATCTAGTCTGACCCTCTGGCCTAGGAAGCACATCAGAGTTATATTTCAGAGGTGGCATTGTCAATCAGTGGGAGAAGGGAACCAAGTCAGTCTTCTGTGCTAGGATGACTGATTTTTCACATATGGAAATATTAAAGTGGATAGCTTTCTCATACCTCACAACAAAAATAAATTCCAGATGGATTTAAGACCTGAATGTGAAAGACAAAGTTTAAAAATGTTTAGAAGAAAAACAGGCAAATATTTTTATGACCTCAAGGAGGGAAAATTTTCTTACACAAAAAGCACAAAAGATAAAAGGAAAAGATTAATAATTTCATGACATAAAAGTTTAAACTTATGAATGACAGTAGAAACCATTTTTAAGAGGTAGAAAAACAAGCCCTTCACTGGGAGAAGATATTTGCAACATGTAACATACTAATTCAGGCTACCCAAAGACCTCCTAGGATTCAGTAAGAAAATCACTAACAAACCAGTCAGAGATGGTCAAAGTATAGGCAAAAGCTCTTTGCAGAAGAGGAAAACTGAATAATCCATAAACATGAAAAGATGCTCAATTAGTAATCAGGAAAATGCACATTAAAGCCTCCAAAAACAACCATTTTACAGCCAACAGATTAGTTAACATGTTGACATCAGACAAAACTGAGCGGAAGCACTGAAGTAGAACCTCATACCTGGATGGCAGGCTTTTAAATTCAGATGGAGCTACAGCATCTAGCAAATCTGAAGACCACCCCCTACCCAGCAACTTCATTTTGGTTTTCTACTCTGGAGAAACTCATTTATTTGCACAACAAGATGCACCAAGGATGTTAATCACAGCACCTGTGATGGAAAAAATAAAACCTGAATTATCCATCTATAGGAGATGAAGACATACTTTTTTGGTGCATATAATCAATGGAATTTGGAGTGTCTCTCAGAATGATAGGGATCAATATGGGTAAACCTCAGAAATATAGTGGTGACTGCAATGAAGCCATTTATAAAAGAAACTTTTGTATTTTTGTATGTATATGAGGTTTAATTCTATGCAATACATATGTGTAGGTAAAAAGGTAGACATTGGCCAATTCCTATAGTCCAACCTAATACATATATAATATAAATATTAAAAGGGAAGGGAAGGTTACTTTCCAACTTCACAATAGTGATTGCTTTTGGAGAGGGTGGGAGAGGAATGGAGTCAGTTAAAACCTACAAAGGGAGTTTTCAAATGAGTCTGTAAAGTTTGATTTAGCACACGAAACTGGAGCATGTGGCAAATGTGAACACTTGTGGAAGCTGAGTTGTGGGTACTTGGGTATTTTTCACTTTATTCTCTGTACCTTTCTTTGAGTTTAAGGTATGTCATAAGTCACACACAAAAAAAAAAAAAGAAAAGAAAAGAAATTCATTGGCCTGAAAGGTCAGTGATAGAGCGCATGCAGATGTGGTTCATGTGGGTTCTTGTTCTCCTTTTGTGCTTCATTCTCAGAAAAAAGGCAAGGTGGGTGCAGTCATTTCTGGCCTGGCCATGGAATGCAACAATAGCCGAAGGAGGAGGGGGGCTTCTGGTGTCTCCCGGAAGAGTGTGGGACCATCTTTCTCAGAAGCTCCTAGAAAACTTCTGCTCTAGTCCCATTGGTCCAGGGTAGGTTACATGTCCAATCCTAAACCCAACTATGGGGCCAGGAGAATGCCAGCAGTTGATGGCTGAGGCCTGTATTCCTAAGCCAATCATGCACAAGGGCATTGAATTACTCATAGACCTGATAGGTCCTTGCAAGAAGCTGTAGGTGAAGATTGGGTGAGTTGTGTAGGGGTCAGGGATGGATTTGTAAGAAAGCTAGCTGTCTGTTAGAAAGAGGAGAGGGAAAATGGATGCCGAGAAGGAATCCAACCCAACAATGTCTACCAAAGGAAAGATTGTCAGAGGTGAGATCCAAGTATAAGGGAGTGTTGAAATCTATGTCATCAGATTGCTTTCTTAAACAATTGAATTAATTTTCATTTCCACCAGTGATGTTGAGCCATCCCCAGTCTGACCCACCAGCAGTGGGATTTCTCACCTATCAGATTGGTAAAAATTAAAAAGTGTGACAGCCATAGCGTATTGTTGCTGTGATTTGCGTTTCCCTGACAACCCCTAAGGTTGGGCATCCTTCCTCGTGTTTGTTGGCCATTTGAATATGCTCTTTTGTGGACTATCAATTCACATCTCTTGCCAAAATAAGAATTCCTGTCATCAAGCTTTTAGACTGCATAGGATCTGAATATGTTTTAAAGGCATCCTCTGAGCTGGGAGGTGAAAAGTGATTATCCATATCTGGAAGCAGCTTGGTGTGTTGGTAGTAAGAATTATTCCACAACCAAGATACCCAAGATTCTTGTCCTCAGTACTCTGCCCCAGTCACTTGTCACATTAGGGAACTGAGGCCCAAAGAAGGAAGACAACCTGCCTATATGTAAAATGAAAGGCCTGCACTATTATTTGTAAGGGGCTTTCCAGCTGTGTTACTTCGTGCTACTGGTTTGGACAGGATTGAAGACCTCTGTCTGCCTTTGACTCTCTGGAAATTAAAGTTTTTCCTTTCTACCTTGTAGTGACCCTTCACTGAATAAGGCAATCTCTGTGGCTAGAGCCTGCCATTCTGGGCAAATTAGAGTCCTTGACTCAACCTGTAGTGCTCAGCAAAGTTTTTGTTCCATCTTGGATTTCTCAGTCAGGGAAAAAAAGCTTTTGCTCATTTCAGCCTTCCCTCCTCGCTCCAAGTTGTTCCGTGTAGGGTACAGTTGGGAGATTCTGGTTCTAGAGGTAGAAGAGAACTTTATATTTTCAAAGCAGCCCTATAAAAGCACAGCCTGACTTTAGGGCCAGTGTTTGATTTCAAAGCAGCAAGGCAACAAACCTTCATCAAGTTATCTCCAATGTTTACTTGCAAATTTTGGAAGAAGCCTGTTAGCGTTTGAGGATTGTGAAAATCCACTTGGCATCATCTTTATTGACATCTAGACAGGAAAAATGCAGGTTGTGAAAGTCAGCTGGCTGGCACATGCTGGGGGAGTGTTTGGGAGTGGATATGATGAGGGGATTTCCCCAGGTTAGGAAGCTAACTGAGTACTCAGTGCTCCTGAGTACCTAGAAGTAGGCAGGAAAGAGCAGAGCACCAGCTGCCCTCTTCTCCCCCCATGGCTGTGTGTCCAGGGCACATTAAATGATGGGCCAGTCCTACCAAGAGTAACTCCTACCTTCTTGCCTCCCACAACTCCTAGACACAACCCTGCTGTTGGTATAGGGACTTCATGGAGCTGAGTCCTTTCTGCAGCTTGGAGAAAACCTTCTTCCAAGTTCCTACCTTCCTACAGAGTAGGACATGTAGACAATTCCAGTAATGCCCAACCCACAAACCTCACCACTCTGTGGCCAACGTGTAAACCTCCCATCTTAGTGTTACCAAAGCACGCCACTCAGAATGGCAGATGGCAGGTCATTCCAACCAATAGGTGTGGGTTTCTGGGCCAGACTCTCCTCTCAGGAATTTGCTGTCTTTTCCTTAATGGCTATAAGGATGGGGGAAACCAGAGAAGTCATTGTTATGGTATTTCATGAACATGTGTGGTGCTCTTATTTTCCTGGTTTTAACATAATAAGACTTGTTGCTTTATGTTTTCATCTATTCTTCTTGAGAAATCAAAGTCATTATTTGTATACAGTGGTTTCCATTGAAACATTATCCAGCACACAGTTCTAGACATATGTAGTCTGTTTCTCAAGGCAGGGTTCAGTTGTGATGCGAATAAAAAGTGAGACCCTGTAACTTTGTTCTCTCCAAAGCTTAAACTCATGTTGTTCATTATAACGGATGTCCACAGAGTGTGCACCATGTCCGGATAGCTGTCCTCAGCACTGGATTGATTCTGATCAATCAAAAGGTGATTCTTCCTCATTATTAATGATTTAGAATTTGAGATCTTAATAAAGAAGAACAAAGATGATATTTTAACTTATCTTACCAAATACATTATTTTTGGATATTTTCTTTTTCACATTGTAGAGTTATCTTTTTTTCTTTTCAAATCCAGTCTTGCTTTAAAAAAGTAAGAAAGTAGATTCTGTGTCCTTCTTAAAACCAACTCCAGCTTCTTCATTGCCTGCAGGATAGAATGAAAATGTCTTAGCCTGTGTGGTGCTCCCCAGGCAGGCAGCCTCTTCCTCTGGGCCTAAGCACTTTGGACTTGTCACCCTTCCCAGTCACACTGTGCTTCTGTGGACCCCACGAGCTGACTGCTGTGCTGGGAAAGTCCCTCCAGCCCCAGCTGCACAGGCTGACCAGTTCCCTCACGCATCACTATCCAGCCCCAAGGGCCAGCCCCCGACCAAAACCTTTGTGTGCCCATATTAAGCATTCCTCTACAACCCCCTGCAATTTGTTCACACCTTCATGAGAGCACCTTAGGTTAATGTTCTCTGCTCACTTTCCTTTTTGCTCACTGGCCTGTGAGTTATTTGAAGTTAGAAGCCATCATTACTTTAATCTGTATTTCCAGCATCTAGTTAAAAAAGAAAAAAAAAGACGCCTCTAAAACAAATCACTAGAATATACACAGTTATGTCTATACCTCAGTGATGAACTTCAGGCTGTTAAGTGATCATTCATTCATTTGTTCATTCATTCTTCAGTAGAGGGATGTGTTCTTACTTTCTGCTAGCACTGGATGTTAGATGAGGTCCTGGAATCCCAGACACTCTTAGAGCCTCTACTTTGCAAAGATGGAATTGAAGGTTAATAGACATTTTATGAGACGTTGTTGTGGAGTCACATTAATTTAGGGTTGATTATTTTTTAAACTTCTAACCTCCATTACTCCCCAGAATTGAACTCAAATGAGTTCTCCCCTGTCACTCAGAACTTGTTTGGAGGAACTAGAAAACCATGCAGATTCTCAGCACCTTTTATTCACGATTTTAAAGGCAAATCTGGATGTGGTATTACACCAAGGTGTTTTTAGCTTTCCTAAATGTCCTAATCGACATCAGATTTTTATGAAAACATTCAAAAGCCTATGATTATTATTACTCTGACCACTGTCTATTTATATTTACAGAGTGCTGAGCAGAAAAAGAATTGCCAAAGCTTTTCTATTTAATCATCCTCTAGACACACCATATAAAAAATAGGGAAGTGGCTCATTCTCAGAGGTTCCTTGGCCCTCAGCCAACCATGAAGTCCCCCGTTACAGCCACCCTGAGTCTCTCTGTGGGAAGGGACTTTCAGCCCGGGAAAGAATGAGTTTCTGCTGGTGACCTGCCAGGTGCAGGTGGTTGAGTCCACTCTACACATCTGGTTGGGGATTTCCAAGGTGCTGGCTGGTGGAGCCTTTATGCATGTGAGGGGGTGAATGGTGGAGATTTCTAGACCACAGCCCAGGAAGCTTTCCAGGTGGTAAAATAACATCAGCCATATTATGCTGTCCACTTTTTTCTCTCAGGTGTTTAAACTCTAGATCTCCAAAGTGAGGTATACACAATATAATCCAGTGTGGTGCTGGAAAAATACAGACCATTAGACTAGAACAGTTCTATTCTCACACATTTGATAATGGACTTAACATGTAGCCACTTTGTGAATAAATACACATATGTTCGTGTTATTATCACCGTTTCTTTTTACCATTGAGGTCATGTGCTCAAACAAGTTTAGAGGCTACTTTGTTAGCCAGTCGCCATTAATCTGGAACAGAGAAGGTTAATTTTTGGTGGAATGGATGAAAATGTTAAGAGACTTCAAACTAAGTATCAGTTTTATAATCAAGTATGATAATCTTCCTCGCAGCATTGTATGGTATGTTGGTGTGAACTTAGTAGCCCTTGGGTTCTTTCCTGCAGAAGTCTAAGGGTATAAGATGACCTATTTTCTGTATATTGTTAGCCTCTGTATGTGCATAAAAGAATGAAGGACTTTCTAAAGGGGGCACAACATAGCTAGTGTTATCATTCTATATGATACAAAAATGGCAGAGGAAGAGGGTCAAGGGACTACCATTAATATTTTGCTGTTTCAGTATTCTTTCTATAAGTATTTCCATACATTTTTGGTTCACCAAATTATGAATATGTTGAATAATGTTTTATAAGTTAGTTTTTTCCACTATATATTTTTCCTTGTCAAAGGGTAAGAATAAGACAATAGGATCATGACTGTGAAGGTCATTTTTGGTGGTTCGACCTCTTAGTTCCGAGACTCCAACCCTGGAAAGTCTGCTCTTGTTGCTTGCACTTGCTTTGTAAATCCAAAAACCCTAGTGCTTTGCAGGCAGAGTTACAGCCTCCACATGCACCATGATTCAGGTAGACCAGGGAGTACCTCCTTCTTTTAGTACTAAAAACACCTGAGAAAACTATACGGAGAAGAGAAGGCTTTGAAAGATGCATATAGACTTGACTTGAACCTGGAGGTCCTCCCGGCGAGGTGGGGCCTTAGGCTCCCCAGGCTGAGCTGTAACCAGCTGTGCCAAGCAATGACCTACTTCTTCCAGTTCCACCTTCTCCATTAAAAGAATTCTGACTGCTTCAGAGAAGATTCTTGTCCCTCTATCCCCACCCCAGACATAGGCACCAGGTAATATTGAACATGAAATATGCTTTTATGAGTATCCTTTGATTCCAACAAAACTAAGAACAAAAATCTTGGACAGGAAAATAAAGCATGAAGGTACTTATGCCACCATTAGTAACTTAGTAACTGCCACCATTATTAACAGGACACGATTAATGGGTACCGCTAAGGTCCATGGCATAGACAAAGTAGGCTGCCCATCATGAGCAGTTCCCTGGCAATCACCGAAATTCACCCCCTTTCCCACTCCAGCAGGCTCATCAGAATGCAAGGGATGTGATTATATGGATAGACCTGGCAATGATATTTTTAGAAGCAAGTCTTATTCTTAAAATGTTAACACTTTATTAACTCTTATTAGTTTCAAGTTACTGTGTGATACAGCACTGTGCCTCAAAAATCTGACTGTGGATGATATCTTCTGATTACCAGTGTTCACTGCTGATTCTCTGTAACTAGTGAAACCTGCTCCATCTCCACAGGGAGGGGCTTAGGACCTGAAGAAACCTTGTTGGATTTTTGCAACCCAGCTGGAGTCCACAAATATTGTTAGCATCCGCATTTTTTACACAGCATTCAGTTAATAGCATGGACATGTTTCTGGAAAGCTGCTGATGCCCATCCCTCTGTTAAGCATCAGGTTCCCAGGATCAAAGGAGCAAGAGGGTCTTAGGCAGTCTTCAGAGTAGTCTCTGGGTTCCACCTTTATTAACCAAGGGAGGCTTGTGGCGGGGGTTGAGGAGGTGAGCCAGCCACCACACAAGCAGTTTTATACCCTGTGTGACTTCCTTAGTTATCTGTGGAATGCAGTTTGTCAGGAAGGTTCTGACTTGCAAATAATTCAAGTTTTATCAGTCCTCTCTCGTAGCCAGTCCCTCAATTTTAATCAGTTTAGAGCAACCTAAGAGGTCTTTGATGAATGGTCATTTCAGTTCTGTGTAAATACTTCTGAATTGAAACATTTCTCTATGAACCGCCCAGATAAACAAAGGGCCCACTATATTGGGTTTTGTTGGTATTTTTACCAAGTTCGTTGAGCAAGCCTTCTTCATACCAGTCCATTCTTGGAATTCTAAACATGACTAATGGCAGACATCTGAATGCTACCTATAAGCACAAAGCTTTTGTAATCTAATTCCTTTAGTGGTGACCCTAGGCTTGTGGTCCAAAAGCTGTTGCTGAGGATATTGCTCTCTGGGCTTGGCCTGGGGATTTTCCTTGTCACTGTAGGATGTACAGAAGTGAGTTGCTGCCTGATATCAGTGCTGGGAGGTTTGAGGTTGCATGTGATTGATTAGTCACGTCTTCCATGGGCACAGATGGGAGTGATGACCTGCTGTCAATCTGTCACCCCCAGAGCCAACCTACCAATATTAGTTCTTACCCCACCAACACTTGAAGCAAGCCGCTGGGGGCTTCACAGCAACTTGGTGAGGGGTCTTATTAGTGAGGGGCTTACCTGAGATCACCAAGAATGGGCCTTTGACCTCTGAGCAATGTCTGACCAAAGCATTTCTTCTTTCCCAAATGGAAGATGTCTTTTCTACCTTGGAGCCTGTTTGCCTGGGTTTTCAAGGTCATTTCAGCAGTGCAAAAACTCTGCAGTTCTGTGAAATGTCTTCCAGATCCAAGCACTGAGTTGATTGCTGTTCTGTAGGCAGAACTGTCGGGTTTGATCAGGGCTTCCCCCACAAACCTTTCTCTATCAAAGATAAGAACTTTTAATACAGATTAAACCCCACAGCAGCAAATTCCAGGAGACTGTCTAGGTTCATCACTTGTATTAGAACATGATGGCACCAAAGTATTGACTGGGGCTTAGAGATGTTAAACAGAGATCTTCTGGTAATAGTTTTTATAAGAGGATTTGATTAGAGGATAAAATGGATGATTTTGGCAAACTTGTGTCTTTGCACTAACTTCTTTAAAACTAGAGTAAATAAGTAGATATTTTTATTTTATTCCTTTGTAATGTATAATTTCATATATCATTACATAAAGTCCCTCTTGGTTCTCATCAGAGAGATTTTTCCTGCTTTTAAAGGAATTGTATCTATGATTTCATTCAATGTTATTTTTTTCAGTCTTCGCATTTTAAGCAGGACTTAACCCTCACAGGTTGGAATGCTTAATCCAATTTCAGGTATCAATGTTAGTCCACTCAGAAATCAACATATCATTAAACCACTGGGATTCACGTGTGAAAATACAAGGGCCAGTGGTGGAAGGGCATCTGTCTACATCGTGTGCTCCTTGGACCATGCTAAGTGGAGATTACCAGAGTGTAGAGAAGAGAGCATTTGGTGGGGACATTGGCACCCTCTGGGCACCTTTACATTTCTGTGACATCCACACTGGTGCCTGTCACAGAGGGGCAGTGAGTCAGCACAAGGTGCTGCAGAACAGGCCATCTTGAGCAGAAAGCCAAAGTGGGCCCATTTGTTTCTTGGGCCTCTCAAAGAGCACAGTCCCCCCACCCCCACCACCTTTAGAAGTAAGTCGTTTGACTTGCTTGAACAATGGTGTGTAAAGAACCTCTCTGTTCAATTGGTGCAGTGCGATGCCAGGGGCTCAGCTGACTTAAGCACTGTTGAGCTGCGGCCCTGACACCACTGTCTGTCTTCTGTCCCTCTCTGCCGGCCTCTCCCCAAGCTCAGCGCAGTGTCCTGCACCTGGTGGGGACTCAATACAGTTTTGTTGAATTGAAATGGGTCCTTCATTGCTGGTCCTTATATTGCTGCCCCAGGGGTGGGACCATCACAAAGGGCCTTCCATGGCGCCATTGACGGCTCTGAATCAGTCATTAACACATCCTCAGACATCTCCAGTATTGATGTGGCTGCTCACTCCACCCCTCGCCAGTCAGCACATCTGCACTGTCACTGGCACAAAGGACAGAGCCAAGGAGGCCCTGGTGGGAGCCTGATATAATTCCCCAACAAACCCCTTACTGTCTGCACAAGGCTGCTGATGCAACAAGCTCCACGCATCTGCGGCTGTGGAAATGTGTTTCATCTTGAGCTTTAGGTCAGTGTTAATATATTTTTATTAATAAGCCTCTGCAGGGTGTGGGATATGAAATCAGCTTTAGAACTGTATGATATCTCATGGAGTTGCCTGGCTGATTCCCACCTTCACTTTTACAGAGAAGCAAATGGAAGTGTGATCCAAAATGAAATTTGATTTTTTTTTTTAAAGGAGTGAAGACTGTGTCTTTTCTGACTTTCAAAGAAACCAAGCAAATTCAAACTGGACTCCAATGATAACACATTTAAAATCATTTGTTGAGCTCTTCTTTGCTCCAGGGAATAAGAGGAGGAGGGGGAACTTTCAGGTTTCAGGGGAATGCCAACCCATGTCAAGGGTTAAAGAAGCCACATGTCTTAGGTCTCAGCACAGATCCAGGAATAGGCCAGGAGAGGAAAAGGAACAGGAGCTGGAAAGAGGCCCATCAAGGAAAATGGCACGGCTCCGCTTCCCCAGGACTTAGCTCTGAGTTTCACTGATGGGAACTTTTGAGGCTAATTTATCAGTGGGTTCCTAATCCCTCCTTACCCGAAGATAGCAAAGGAAATGGTGACCACAGAACACCCACAGAGGGAGAAACAGGAGACCTGTATTTATCCAAATGAATTTAGTCTGCAGTTAAATGTTTTCAGGCCAAAACTTCTGCCTTGTGGTTCAGGGTAACTGGAGCCCACTGGGAGCTCCCTGTTTAGGCTGGGCTTCAAGCAGCCACCATTGCTCCGCTATCCCTTGGGCCTGCATCACACATTCAGAGCAATATCTGCCTACCAAGGAGCAAATTCTCTATGTCCAGGTGCTCTAGAGAGAGACATGAACTGTAGAGAGCAACTGCCTTGCAGCCCTCCCAACCTGGTGAAAAACTAGGACTGCATTTCCTCTTTTACCATCTACCCCATCCCACTTGAATCAGTTCCCCAGCCATGAAGCCTTCCACCATGCCGGGGGACATTTCAGTGTTTTGCAGACCCATCCTGCCTGGGTCCCATGCCGATTCTCTACCCTACCTGCCTGCCTGCCCTGCCTGCCTGAAGGGGCCCTGCTGGTCCCTGGCTCATCTCCCTGCAAGAACAAGACCACCAGCCTCCCTGGCACTGGGCATGGCCTGATGGGATGGGAGAGGCTGTGCGTTCTTTGACTGAAAACACATTCCGCTACCACAGCCAAGATCAGCCTGTCACATTTAAACCCAGGTCAGCGGTGCAGCTGTTAAAAACAAGGGACTAGTAATAGATAAATGGAGAAGGAGACACCATATATAGACCCTGCCCCTCCACAGACACCACCCTCTGAGCACTTCTGCCCACTCCTGACCTCCCAAGAGGTGGAGGATACCTTTTTTCCTTTCTTCCCCACCTGGAGGAATGACCAGCCTCTGAGACACTAGCTTCCCCCTGCCCAGCAGCCTACCCTTCGAGTCCTTGCTTTCCTGTACCAGCTCTGGCAGTATGAAGTTACATTCCCTCCAAGAAATACCCCACTCCTGACACGAGAGCTGGCCTTGTCCTCATTCCCTTACCAGCACAGCACCACTGGCATACAGCACATTGCTGCATGAAGGACCTTTTGGCACAAGAACTCTCCCATCAATCTCACTGTCACTTTCCAATCTCCCCCTTTTAAGGTTGACTCAGGTGGCCAGCATATTTCTCAAGACTGGGTCATTTGGTCAACACAAAGTGTATGTGTGTGTGCAGTATCCAGAGTCCAGGCCTCCTGTAAGGAACTTCAGCCAATGCAGGGCTTGGTTTGCCACCTTCCCAGAGTCCTCAGGGTTTCCGCTCTTACCCCATGGCTAGTTGCCTGAACGGGGAAACACACCCGTCCACACACATAGCTGAATCCCTGTACTAGAGCCAGCAATGGTGTTCTACGGCATAGCCCCAGCCACGTTCCTATAAAGGAACAAATGCAACTCACAACCCAGATAAGATCTTAAACTAATAAAAAGATAACTGCTGTCATACACAGTTTTTGTAATCACATGGATCAAAATATTCTTAATTCCAGCAGTCTTTTGTTTAAGAGTGTTGACCTGATCCTAGAGCCTGACCCCAGGCTCTCCTTCATCTTGGCCACTCTAGAGATGAACTTTCCTCTTCCTGATGAAATGCTCTCAGAGAAGCCATGCCCCTTATTACACAGTGACTAGGAGGCAGAATCAGGATTGAATGCTGGACACTTACTTTCTTCCACAGTTGGGCAGATGTTTTTCAAAATAAGGAAATTATTTGCCCCAAAGATCCTTCCACTGACATCCAACCTTGGAGCCATTTGGAAGCTGAGAGGTAACCTGCTGAAGTGTCTGAAAAGAGAAGTTTGAAGTCCAGCCAAGCTTGGTTTGAAGCCTGACTCCAGGTTTTACCAGCTGTGGGACTACAGGCAAGTTTTTGAACTTTTCTAGCCCATTTTCTGATTCGTACCTTATCTGTGCAAGTGGGACAATAATACCTTCTCTTTGGGATCATGGCAATTAGAGATAGTAAAGATAAAGCACCCAGCAGTGCACAGCCTGTGGTAGGTGCTCTCAGTGGTAACCACCTCTCCCACCCCTGTGTTTTAGCATTTGGAGTTGGACTTATAAGAATATTTTAATTCAACATAATGTTTTTGTGTGAGTGAAAGTACAAGTTAATAAGTCAAGGCTAAGGGAATCTAAGCCAAAATTGGGTGTCCAAAATCAAGACTCACCTGATTTTTTCTAACTCTCCTGACTGAGGGATTCAGGCCTTTGTACCACCACTACCCTCACCTGCAGAACAACCCCAGAACCCTGTTTATTTGTTTCTCACTTCCTTAGAATAAGCTCACACTTGCTCCATGACACTCCGCTGCAAGAAATTCATTATCATGTTTTCCTAAGTTAAACACACGAGCATTTGTTCCTTATTGAATAATATAATAAAGAGGGCTCACAAAACATCATGACTGGGCCAAATAAAAACAAATTAAAAATATGTGTGACTTCATGCCCCTGCTGACTTGTCATCTTCAGAGGATGACATCCACCTTGATGAGGTTGTGCATGTCCTGGAGGGCAGACCACAACCTCTGAGACGGGCTCTCGTGGTCACTGCAGTGTTGTGTACCATCTCAACGTGATAATCCAGGGACATACACAGCATCCTTGACTGCCATGGTGTCCCTCCCTGCCTGGTCAGGCCCCAGGACCTGCCCACTGGCTTCTGTGGCAATGGCCCCTAGAGTTCAGTCTCCAGCTCCCCAGGGCTTCTCCAGGAGTGTCAGGGAGCAAAGCCCAAGCCTCCTCCAATTACAGATCCCTTTTCCCAGGCTCCCCTTTGCCTGTCCAAGCCTTTGAAATGCCACCTGCCTTACCTAGCTAGCTCTTTCTCTGTAGAGTTTGAAAATATAACCATCAGAAACCTCTTAACCTGTCTCCGGATCTCAAGAAGTCCCTTGCATTCTGCCTCCCAGCTCGCCCCCAGGAGAGGGGAACAAGAAACCTCTCTCATGCTTTCATGATCTTCCTGCTGGCCAAGATGAGGCAGCCAAGTTAATACTTTAGTCCAGGGATCCTGGACATAAGTTCATAAGAAATCTTATTAGAGGTCTCAGAAACCTCACTGACTGGCAGCCCCTGTGTCTGCATCTGCCCATGCACAGGAACCTTCACGTTGTGTCCCTATAAGAATCACTCCCATTTTCCCATTGAAGCCTCACATCCCTGGGAGAAAGGTACATGGTAGGTAGCAGAGAGCGGCTTTAGATGTGACAGTGGCCCAGGGTCCAGCTTGGAGCCACCTGACCCCACCAAACCCTAGAGTAGGTGAAGGGGACCCTCAATGCTAAGGATCAAAACTGAGGTGCTACAAGAGAGTTTTAAGGGCAAACCCAAGATTTTGTTGATTGAAGCTATTGAGGAGCCAAGGAAAATGAGCCAGTTTTTCCCACGGTCGTGTCCAGCTCCCTGCTGTTGCGTCCCCCAGATGTGGGAGATGGTGAGCAAGGGGGTGAGATCCCACACAGATGGGGGCCTGGACACCAGGCAGGAACAAAGAGAATCAGCAAGGAAAGGCAATTTGATTACCAGACAGTTCTGTTTAAACAGGATGGGGTAGGATATCAAGAGGGGGAAAAAATCAGTGCCCGGAAGGAAGAAGGGATTTAAAAATAAAAGAAGTGACATTAAATCCAGAGAAGTAACCCTGCCTTCCTTTTCCAGTAAAGTGTTGCTTTTAAAAATCTGGATCTAACACAGAGAAGGCAAATGGATCCTTCTCTACATAGCACTTAGGGCAGCTACTGCAGATTGATTGGGCTTGGCATCTGAGGTGAAATTTGAGACCTAATCAACGCTCAGCGAGAGTCTTATAATTGATTGTTAATGTCTGCCAAGGGCATGAAAAGGAGGAGGATTTAATCAAGTACTATGCATTTGCCATCTTTTCTAACCGGTATTTTTCAAATTCTCCTATCAGTTCCCAGCTACCCCAAAATATTTTCATTTAAACAAACAAACAAACAAACAAAAGGCAAGCATAGCTGACTCTACTAAAGCAGTAGATTAACCTGGCCCTTCATTTAATCATTGATTCATTGATTCAGAAAGTTACTGCAGGGTTGGACACTGTGGCTCATGCCTATAAACCCAGCACCTTGAGAGGCTTAGGCAGAAGAATCACTTGAGCCCAGGAGTTCAAGACCAGCCTGAGCAATAGAGTGAGACTCCCATCTATACCAAAAATTAAAAAATTTTAGCCAGGCATGGTGGTACACACCAGCATTCTCAACTACTCGGAAGGCTAAGGCAGGATGATCACTTGAGCTCAGGAGGTCAAGGCAGCAGTGAGCCATGATCATGCCACTGCCCTTCATCCTGGGTGACAGAGTGAGACCCTGTCTGAAAAAAATCGTTCCTGCATGTTGCCTCTTCAAAAGGTGCCAGGTGACTGTGTTAGAGAATGCTGAAAAGAAAACACTTGCTGCTTCAGACACCTTACAGTCTAAATCAAGAGATAGAATATGAAATACGGTTGATTACCACACAAGAAAACACTAAGTATCATACAAGGCCGTCTAAAATAAGCACGAGACTGAGCTGCTCAGTGTTGTAGGTATTTGTTCAGCACCTGATGAGTACTTTTAAAGTGTTGTGCTTTTGTTCTTTGTTTTGTAAAGTTTTGAAAGCATATAGTCCTTTTCACGCAAATGGCACAAAAGGTAATATTTTGGGTAAAGGAAGAAGGCAGGGAAAGTTTCTGACAGGTCAAGAAAATTGAGTATGGAGGCCTTTGACAAAAGCTGCAAATAGAACCCAGAGTGTATCATTTCTTTCTGTCAATGATACTTGGTCATTTTTGACATATGGCTTGTTTTTCTGAAATTGGGTTGTTTTGAGACAGGATTCTGTGAACTATAGCCTTGGGGATAGAATCTCTACATGCTTTGGGATAATCACCTCATTTTTTTAAACAAGTGGTATTTACCCAACTGCAGTAACCTAAGACAGAATACCCTCTGGTTAAGAATTAAAGAGACGGGCTAAACGCTCCATTGAATAGTCTGTTTATGTAAGAAAACCAAGTTACTTTATGAAGTCAGATTGTGATTTTCTGTCACTTTTCCTCCCTTTGGTCTCTGGAAAAGAAGTCGAGCAGATGATTCAGCCGAGTCCAGCCAGGGCTGGGAATAGACTTTTTGGACGATACCTTGTATTTCCCTGCTTTGTAAGTGCAGTCTGTAGTGTGACATAAAAGTCTGGTGGGTTTATTCTGTGTAGACCACCTATGGTTGTGGCTGTGGGGTTCGTGTGAGACAGCTGCACACCTCAGAGTAGTACTCTGTGGACAAAGAGCGGGGGATGGGGGTTGCTAGGGCTCGGGACCCTAGGCTGCCACTCCCAGCCCTTCCTGTGAGCCTCCATGTCCCTGCCAGACCCTTCCTGGAGCTGTGGCTTGAAAATGGAGGCATCAGGACTGACTTGCAGGTAGTGAGGGGGAGGGTGTGGGGCTGAGGAGAGAACAGGCGGTGAGCATGCCTGATAGCCTCTTTCTTGCTGGGAAGCCAGGAATATTAATAGCTTCATCACATTAATCTAAAAAGAAGGCCTATAAAGTCCTGACACTCCCTGAAGACAGGCCCTGCTTCCTTAATCCTCCTGGATCTTTCCAGGTCAGAGCAGCTCAGCGCCCTTCCCCCTGGAGGCTAGTGGATCAGTCTCCCCAGGCTGCCAGAGTGGGCCTCCCGTCTGTGGCTGGGAGAGGCCAGGTTTCTGAGTTGGGTTCTCAGCTTCTTTTGCTTTTAAAATGGCCTCCTGTGCTCCCATTTCCTGTGTGGCCCCACAGGCATCCTTGTTTCAGGCTCTCTTTTGGTCTGTATTCTTCAGCCTCATAGCACTTGGTGATGCCATCTGGCCTGTTGTCTGTCACTTGACCCTCACTTCAGCACTGGGGTGTGCAGAGCACAAGAAGGAAGCCGCCTGCCTGCCTGCTGCCTGGGGGCCCAGAAATGAAGCGAGGCTTGCAGGGAGGTCCTTCTGTTTCCTGTGTATTTTCTGCCCTAACCCCACCCTGCCCCCACAACCCATCGTGCCTGAGTCCCAGCCACCTACCCTCAACCTGTCCTTGGTGGACACTCCTTTTGCTGCTTTGCTTTCTGGAGCCCAAGTCTTGTGAATTCTACCTTTAAAAGTCTCAGTGCTGACCAGTCCTTTGCACCCCTGCTGCCCTCACCCTCCCCTCTCCACCCGCAGAATCAACCTTTCACGCTAGGACCAGTCACCTCCCCACAGAAGGCATTTGATGACAGCCTCCTCCAAAAGGGGTCAGGCCGGTCACTCCACAACTTCCAGTGTCCACCCCATCGGGTGCTGACAGTCCTCAGATATGCCACACAGCGGCCCATCATGGGCCAGCACTGACCATCCCAGACCCCTGGGGGCCCTCCCTTCCCTCTCCTCTTCCCTCCCACCCTGAGTCGTTCTATAAGGCCCAGATGACTCCTCCACTGAGGGGCTCTCCTAAATTTCTTCTGCTTGAAAGAATTCCTCCTCTGTATTCTGTAACGTTCGGCACCTCTCTTTTGTCCATCACCTTACCCTGCGGTTTCATATACTTGCCTTCCTCCCTCTCCAGGTCCTCAGCCTCCTAAGGGGAGCAGCCATTCCTTGTTCTTCCCCAAGAGTCTGTGGAATGGAGTTGAATCTGTTCTGTCGGGTTGGCTTCCCACCTCTGCAGGGAAGGTGAATGGCTTCAGGCTTCTTAGGTCAGGGTGACTTCACGGGGTGTTTTTAAATGTGACTTGAAAATTTGGGAAGTGACCTTACATTGTCAGTCACTAAAGCAGAGGTAGGAAATTGAGGTGCTTTTTCATCACATTTTGCTTCGCCATTTCTGAGGAGGGTTCTGTTGTGGTGCCCCTGGAAGGGCCCTGGGTCAGACGATGCCAGGGGCTTCATGAAGGCTGGCCAGCATCCCCACTGTCCCAGCCCAGCCCAACCTGCCTTTTGTCCCATCCTCGTTTCTGTATGCTCCTCCTTGCTTCTGTGCCACTGCCAGCATGCCCTCTCCAAGGGGTTTGTGGGTCCAGTTCTAAGGCATGGCTGTCCTTCTAGGGAGGAGGTCCTTGTCCATTTAGAGGGAGTGAAATGGGAGCTCAGAAGTCAGAGGAAGCTATTCATTCCCAGAGAAGTACTTTAAGGCGGCAGGTGTGTTGTTTTTGTTGTTTTTAAGTGAGACAAATGTGCTTTTCAAAAGACTCCGTGTGTGTGCTTACACCCCTGAGTCTGCTTGAACATCTAACACCTACCAGCTCCCTGACAAGAACATTTGTGGCAGATAAAAGGCATTAAAAAGTCCTAAGAGTGAAGCGGGATGAGTCACCGAGAGAGTGAGCCTGCCAGAGCCTTTGAGAGCAGCGGGTTGCAAAGTTTGAGTCTCTTCCTCGTTTGTTCCCTCCTCGTGCCAAGCTAGGGCTCACGGGTGGGTGTGATCCTCTCCCTTCCTCGGGCCCCTACACCTACAGACCTCCCACCACCTGCAGAGCTCTCCAGCCCACAGCACGCCCTGCTGGGCTCACCCGGTGCCTGAGGGTTTTGCTTGCCAGCTGGGGCTGTGGGAACCAGCCGTGGGCTGCTTTTGCCCTATATGAGGAGACGATGAGACTGAGCAGAGAGTCACTGTTTGTCACCCTGCAGCATTCATCACAGCACAAGGAAACAGCAGGGCGGTGTCCCCCTCTCCCCCAACACCCCCTCCCACCCCCGCCTGGAGAGATGAGAAAACTGCTTGCAAAACGGCTGAGAAAATTTGCAGCAGAGGCTCACAGGGAAGAGTGGGCTCAAAGCACCAGTGGCAGGCAGCACCTCTATTCTCATCTATGCAGAGCCACTCCGCTTTCTAGTGCCAGGCGATCGCCTCACGCAGCCGCACCCTCTTTGACTTTCAGCACTGGGTGCCTCTTTACACTCAAGAGGGAGGAGGACATGCCCAGTCTTCTGTGGAGCTGGGCATCTCTGTGGCAGAAGCTGGGAAGTTTTGCAGAGCCTGCTGCTTTTTGAGGTCTTTCTGTAGTTCTCAGAGCAGATTTAAGAAATGTGGGTTCACCAGTGAGATTGGCAGGAGAAGGGGATACTACCATTTATAGGGGCGGCGAATGCCTAGAGATTTGGTGGGAGATGTGTTTGGAGAGTAATGAGGATGAGTGGCTTGATGGGGATGTGGGGGTTGGTGCAGCTGGGGAGTCTTGGAACCTGCTGATCCAAGGTGCCTGGGAGGGCTACTGACCGCACCTGTTGTCTGTGTATCGGCTCCTCATTAGAGCCCATTGCCTGTTCTTTCAGGGGCTTAATTGAAAGGAAGTTTGAACCACAGGCTTGTCTTTCACCCGAGTCTCATGGGCACCCATGGGTCAGAGCTGCATGGACACACCTGTGTCCATCGAGAGGACAGAAACTTCACAGACCTTCAGTTACGTGTGCCCCACTCTTGCTAAAGTAAAGGCTTTTGAAGTGTTGGGCCCAGCCAATGCCTTGATCTGGAAGTGCTTTAGGGTACACCCTACATGTGTTCGGGCAATACCTGGTGTCCCCGGAAGTCGTGTTCCCCGTGCTATTTTGTATTCTGAGGTCAAGCTCCTCTGAAGAGCCACTAACTGCCTTTGGATGGGTTTTAGGACATTTAGTCATGGGTCAGACTGTTGAGCCTCCATGGCTGTGAGAATTCCAGGGCTCTAAGCTGGCCCTGCCTGCATCAGGCTGTGGTACTGAAATGCAATTAAACATGGTAAGCAGCTCCCTTTACCCTTTCAAGTCACAGTGCTGACTCTTGCAAAGAAATATACAAATAAAAAGTGTTTGCATTTTTATTTATGTAGAAGCAGGAGATGGCAAATTTTAAACCCTATTTTCAATCAAACCTGGAAAAAAAAATGTTAAGATTCGAGTAACTAGTTGGAACCTTGCCTCTCTCCTTTCGTTTCTATATAGGTCTGTTTTTTCCTGATTGCCAGACTCAGTAAGAGAAGGAAGTGTGTGTGTAGTCAGTGTATAGAGTTCCTGTTACCTGTTAGACCGTAATAGCCCCACCAGACATGCAGAAATGGAACTTGATTTATTATAAAACTTGAAAGAATCAAAAAGGGAAGAAAAGAAAGAAAAGCAAAGAAACTAGCCACAGATCTGCCGCATCAAACAGCCAATCAGTATGCCCAGCAGCATAAAAACAGCACGTCTGCAGCCAGCTGGCAGCGGAGGGGGAAGCAGGCTCCTCTACCTGCTTGTTCATTTGACAGGAGCCTTGAGAACTGCATCCTTTATTTGGGTCTCAAACAAGGATAGTCGTTTGTAGAAAGGGTTTTATTTTTTAAGCGCTTTTTCGGGTACGGTGTTCTTCACCACCATACTGCGGTTTACGCAGGAAGTTAATTGCTCTATTCTTTTACATTGACCTTGAGAGGATTTTCTATCTAAGAAAAGTGACATTTTGGTTTTCTAATTTAGAAGCACAAAGGAAGTTGAGAGATACAGTGTATGAGCCTGATTCACACTTTGGGGAAAAGTGCTCTGGTGAAATTATACACTCTTGGAACTGGGAGCAAAGATAACATTATTAGACTTAGGCGTGAAATATGATTAATGGGAAAACAGGGATAACGCCGATGCCCCTTCGTGTGCATGGCCAGCTAGCATTTCATCCCTGAAAACTTGTGTGGTTGAAGTGCTTGAGTGAACACCGGTGAAGGTCTGTGCTCACAGTTCTGACTTCCCCGGCAGTCACAAGCAGTACTAGTAACGCTTTACCTACAGTTTCAAAGCACGCTGTTTTAGAAAAGGAGGACCCATCCCCCAATAAACACACTAATAGAAATGCCAGCCCTTGGAGGAGGAGGGTCACTGCAAGATGAATTAATGGATAGAAAAGAGAAGAATCCTGAAACTTGGTGGCCTGGAGGGATGGAGAGATTAAACTTGCCTGAATTAATTGTCATGCTGAAGCCATTTCACAATGTATATGTATCTCAAAACACGACATTGTGCACCGTCAGGATGTTCAGTTTTTAGTTATCAACACAAAATAAATGAAAAAATCATGCTGGCATCTTTTAAAAGGATAGCCAGGGCTGGGCGCAGTGGCTCACACCTGTAATCCCAACACTTTGGGAGGCCAAGGCGGGTGGATCACGAGGTCAAGAGATTGAGACCATCCTGGCCAATGTGGTGAAACCTCGTCTCTACTAAAAAACAGAAAAATTAGCTGAGCTCGGTGGCACATGCCTGTAGTTCCAGCTACTATGGAGGCTGAGGCGGGAGAATCACTTGAACCTGAGAGGTGGAGGTTGCAGCAAGCCAAGATTGCATCACTGCACTCCAGCCTCAGGCGACAGAGCAAGACTCCATCTCAAAAAAATTAAAAATGGATAACCAGTTTGGCTTGGCGTGTCAAGCTGACGGGCGGCTTCCTGTTGGAACCCATTCACTCCCTGGCTCAGGCAGGGGCCGGTAGCTCATGATGCCAGCACAGGCTTCCGGGACACATTTTGATGATACTTTGCAGTACTCTCACCTCTCAGTTCGAAGACCCAGAGTTCTTACTCAGCTGACAGAAAAAGCCACATGTAAAACTCAATCATTTTGGAATGATAATGATGGAGGGACAAGGGTGATCTGTGGCTGTCATCCTCTACCCCTCTGGGGAATATGTGATGTCTTCTTCTCCTCAAAGAAGAATAAAAGGCGGGGACAGGACTTCCCCTGGGGTTTAGTGTGGTGGCAGGTGCCACCACATACACTCTCTAAATTACTAAGGGGCTTCTGCAGCAATCCGAAATGCAAAACAAACTTGAAAGTAATTTATCTTCTTATCCACATCAAGATCAGGATAACATTTGTGTGTGTTTTTATATACTTGAAGTAAAAATTAGAATAGTCAATTAACCCTATTAGGAAACTTTAATACTTCCATTTAAAAAATACTGTCTTCACTCTTTTCTTCGAAAAGCTCCACAAATTACTGCTTACTTTTAGATTCTCTCCTGGATTTTAATGTACCTTCTAGGCATTAAAACAGGAATAACTCTGATATCCATCTGATATTTGGAAATGACATTTACTGGTATAATTTGTTATTCTGTTATTGCTATAATTGCCAGCACTCATTTGTTCATTCGTTGTGGTGTGAAAAACAAAATTGATGAAAGTTTATTTTTCTCTCCCTCTCCAGACCTGCCCTATCTGCCAGTTCTCTCCGCAAAACACTCTGGGTAGGTCTTGTTTGTATTTGTTTTAATGCATTCAAACTTCTGGTTCCTGCCCAGTAACTCCCGAGCTGGCTCTCAGGCGCTTGTCTGCCAAAATACGCTGACTGCATCCCTGAAAACTGATCGTGTATTGAGAACTGCCGAGAGGCTCAGCCACTTCTGGGGCCAAGTCACCACAGCCAGGTCCACGGCAAGGGGGAGCCCTCCCGGCAGGCCGCACTGCCCTGTAAGCAGGAGGCTTGAGACAGGGAATACGCGCATGGGAGGTGGTAAGAGAATTAGAAGGGGCAGAGACGGGGCATGAGGAGATGGGGCGCAGTGGTGACAGAGTGGGAACAGAAGCAGGGAGATATGTGGAAACTGGTAGGAAAAAAGAAGCAACCAATTAGAAAAATGGCTGATAGGATGTTGATAATATCACAGGAATGTTTTTAAAGGCCTGTTTTCCAAAAGTGAATATGGGAGAAACTGAGAAATGAGGATACCAGATAAGTTCCACCTGCAGAGGCCTGGAAAGGTTGCCAGATCCATGTGGGGCAGTCACAATTCCTGAGAAAGAGGGGCAGTTTTACAAGGCATGGAAAGCTAAGTAGGGTGCAACTTCTAGAATTGGGGGTAACAGCCCAGAGTGCTGGCTGAATAAATATTCAGCTGAATCTGCTTTTTTTTTTGAGACAGAGTCTCATTCTGTCACCCAGGTTGGAGTACAGTGGTGTGATCTCAGCTCACTGCAACCTCTACCTCCTGGGTTCAAGCGATTCTCCTGCCTCAGCCTCCCAAGTAGCTGGGACTACCAGGCATGTGCCACCACACCCAACTTTTATGTATGTGTATATATATTTGTGTGTGTGTATACATGTATATATATATATATATTTGAATTTTTAGTAGAGATGGGGTTTCACCATGTTGGCTAGGATGGTCTTGATCTCCTGACCTTGTGATCCGGCTACCTTGGCCTCCCAAAGTGCTGGGATTACAGAGCCACCAAGCCCCGTCTGAGTCTGCTTTTTTAGCTGATCTGTTGGAATGCCTGAAGCCCAATTGCCAAATACTCACTCTGTACATTATCTTGAGTCCCCTTTGTGATGCTGGTACCCTCTGCCCGCCCAGGAACTGACTTTCCTCTAAGGAGACAGGCAGGGAGTAGGTGGGTACAGGACAGTTGTGGTATGGGGCTATAGGAGCACCAAGGGGGAGGCATCACTAGCCTTCCAGGTTAGGCAGTGCAGTTCAAGCCAACACTGGAGGAGGGGTAGAGGGAGCTGTAGCACCAGCTCTTAGTTGTATAACACTGAAAATGGGTAGGCTGAGAAGGGGTGGAACCTCAGAATCTAAGAGAATTCAAAGGAGGGTAGCAGCCCATCTTTCCCAAGTGCATAGTCTGTTTTTTTTTTTTAATCCAACTATTTTTTAAACTGTACTGGGCATATGGTAGCTTCCAAGACCAAAAGACTGCCAGATGGAGTTGAGAGGGATCATGAAACCTATTTTGTTTTAGCAACTCTTGGGCTGCAAATATTGTTCAGCCTCTACTCCCTCAGGCTGCAGGAGCTCATAGTGGTCTGAGTTCCCAAGGGTTCATGTGGGCACCACTGTGGCCCCTCAGGCAAACCACTGGTCTCTCTGTGAAGTTACATCTTTAAGATCCAAATAGAAAGTATCCATTCCCGACTCATAGTAAAATGAAATGAAAGCATCATGGAAAGGGGAAGGCTGTCCACCATTTAGGGAATTCCTGGAAGTGGCACGCTCTTGGTGCATGGCTCAGCGATGAACTCCGGTGAATGTCCACCATTATTAATTATCAGTACAGTCCCACATCTGCAGTGACCCAGGGGTGCAAAGCGCCTGCACCGCAGGCACTGTCTCTCCAACCTCATGATGCAGGTCCGTCAATAAGTTCCCTGCAGTCAGATCTGGGGGTGAAGAGCGGGGAGTGCCTTGTCATGGCTGTGAACAAAGAGGAAGAATAGAGGAAAGGAAGGGTAGAAGGATTCATAAAAAGATGGATGGAAGGATGGATGAGTGTAGGGGAGGAAAAGGATGTTTCTTCCTCTCCTTATCTTAGAGTCTCCAGCTGGTGCCCTGTAAATTAAACTGGCAAATGACAGTTTCACAAGAGAAAAACAACAAGACATTTATTAACATATGTATTGTTGGTGTACACATGGGTGCACCCAGTGAGGAGTAACCAGAGGAATGGTTAGAACTTGGCCTTGTAAAACATCATAGGCTAAACAAAGGAAAAGGGACTTGTGAATTCTGCACTGGGAAGACCAGACTAAAGAGGAAAGGTAAGAATAGGCCTTTAATTACTTGAATGCCCAGCAGCAGTGGTAAGGACCCTATGCATGGGCGTATAAAGTAACTCCTCTCCCTTTCCAGGAAGAGGAAGACATCTTTTACAAATGGAAACTTTACTTGTAAGTGTAAATTTCCTTTACGAAAGAAAAACTTGTGCCCTATTTTTAGAGCTTCACCTGCATTGGTTGTTCTCAATGGCCTTTAGCTCAAAATCATCATGTGCCAAAGAGGTGTATTTTGGGGTGACATATTCTGCTGCCCTTCAGATGGAAGGAAGGACAATCTTGTATCCATAGTCAATTTCTAGTTGAGCTTTTGCTCTTCCTCCTCCCCATAGCAATATAGAGGATCAGTGTAAGATTTTGCTTCTTTTTTTAAAAAAATTCAACAACAGTTTGTCAAGTACCTGCCCTATCTCTGTACACACTCCTCCCCTCAAGGAGTGCATGACTAAAAAGGAAAGGTAAGAATAATCCTTCGATTACTTGAATGCCCAACAGTGGTAGTAAGGACCCTATACAAGGGCATATAAAGTAAACTAGAAGTCACAAGGAAGGTGTCATGACTGCCAGCTGGGAGCTGACCTTGCAGAATGAGGAGGGTCAGAGGACACAGATATCCCTGCTGGAGATGCCTGCCCATCCCTGTGGTAAACTACAAATGGGTCCTTTTGGTTTGTGCATAGTTTACTTGGAAGTGGGGGTGGGGTGCGGCGCTGGCAGAAATAAAGTAGAAAATGTAGGTTAGGACCTTATTATGAATATCCCTAAATACCAGTCTAAGAAACATGGGCTTTTTTTCTGTGGAACGTGGAGTAATTGTATACATACTTTGGAATACTGTGCTGCAATTAGCATATGTACCAACATGAATCGACTTCTGAGACCTGTGGTTTAATGAAAAATGTGAGTTGCAAAAAATATGCTCAGTATGATATCATCAGTGGAAAAATAGTCTACAAAACAGTTCTTTGTGTTTATATGTTGTCTTCTATGGGTCTGAAAGGACCCACACCAGACTGCCAATAGCAATTACCTTTGGAGCAAAAGGAAGAACTAGGGTTTGGGAGTGAGGAGTATTGAAGGGGGATGTCAGCATTTTTGGTAATCTTTTGGTTTTATTTTAACAAGAAAATATTATCTTGCCATTAAACCGTAATTTTAAAATTCAAAAGATAATGGAGTCATTGGCTTAATTCCTGCTCTAAAATTTTCAATTAGAACTTGTACATCCTGAGAATTGGGAAGATATTCTCAAACCACACAAAATCCAGGGATTTTTTTTTTAAAAAGCCCCCACCTCCCCCACTCAGAGCCTGCAGAGAGAAGGAAGTCTTTCGACCGCTTTTCTCCCAGGCCTGGATGGCCTCGTTTGTTTGGTTCATTGATAATCAATTTCAGGTGATGAGGGATGCTCTTGACCCACGTTGACCTTGCAGCAGCATTCTGTGTTCCTGCCCATGACTAGATTCCACCCTGTGGTGGTGGCTGGCTCCGGGCAGCAGTGGTGAGTATGTTTTTCTCTTTCCTGGCACCAGGATCATTTTCTTGGAGAGTCTCTGTGGACGTTGGCAAATAGTTTTGGCCTTCTTCCAAGAGATTGGGTTTATACCAGTCTAAATGAGGCAGGCATTTAATCAGTCACCCAGGGAACAGGCTTGAGGCCCTCTGGTGTCTTCTTTATAATTAATTTTTAACATTTGTTTTCAGTATAAAATTTGGGCCTTTATCCTCTTTGAAATAAAAACATAGCATGCATATTAGACTGTATTGGCACTAAACTTCACACACCATTCTTTTATTCCCTTCCAACTATTAACTTCTATTAAGCAAGACAGAGGGGATAATAAGATCCCCCTGCACTCCCCCGCCTGGCTGGCTTGTGTGATGCTTCATCCTCCGTAATTGCCTTCGGTGGCCAGGCTCTTTCCTATCATTAGTGTGCATCAGAGGCTCTTTGTCAGGGCCCGGCCACCTCCCAAGCTGCCATGCACCCCTTTTGCCATATATCCCTTTAATGCTATGGCCTTTCCCAGCCCAACCACTGGGAGGCCCTGGTCCACTAAAGTTCTTGTTAACAAGACACAGGGGATATTTCTGGATTTTTAACCCTGAAACTTACACTTGAACTGCTGGAGATGATTTCCTATTTGTTCATTTGATTGACCTGCTCTTGCCTCCAGAGAGCCCAGGCCTGGGTCAAGGGGACCCGAAACAGCACAGTGTTCTCAAACCTAGATCTATATAAACAACAGTGAGAATGCTGACTGCAAGTGCAGATTCTGAGGCCTCTCTTCAGACCTACTGAGTTGGAATCTTTAGGACAAATGGAAAATTAACTGGCAACTTTTTGTTAAGCTGTGTAATTATTTGCAAATCACTGAGTAAAGTGATCATTTTTCACTTTCTTTCAGAGAAGTTTCAACACAAACATATCTTTAACCTTCAATACCCTGGACTTTCTCTTAGGGCTGCTATGTACCCTTTGTGCAAATTAGAAACAGGAACCCTTCTTTCTGGACAGCAGCAAGCCACACAGGAGGCAAGACTAAGTCTGTGGGGCTGAGGATGGATTTCAGCCCATTTACCTCCTTGGCCAGGAGTCTTTGTGCAGTTAACACCCTACACAGTTGCACATGGCAACCCTGCTTACTCTGTGTTCTGATAAACAGAATAGCTACCTGATGTTGGAAACAG